GTATCCTAACCAGCTAGACTACAACGGATCTTGCTTTGTTGCTTCATGTGCCACATATACATTTCTGAATTTCAGCGAAAAATGGCACAATCTTGTTGATTTGGTGTAGTGTGAGCACCAGCAGACGGATTTTTTTGCTCCACCAAATTACATCATTATATCACTGCATTGTATTGGCAACCACCCAAATTTTTTACTCATAGTATGTACATCCTGTTATGATCGATCAGCATCTTCGTTTTCCTTTAAGGATCATCAGTTTTGTTTGTCACCAACATGGACGCTTGTGCTATTCTCTACTGAATGCAGACATTTCACAAGTTAGCAGTGTAGATATTCGAGAAAATATACTGTGGAAACCACATATTAGGTGGAAACTTGGAAGCTCAGATATGCTACACTCCTCCAAACAAGCTCATAATGTGATCAATTAATTATATGCCTGCTAATAAATTCCACACTAATTAGATTTGCACGGCTTATTAATTATTATTATTTTTGCAATGGCAGTACCATCTGCAGGGCAAATTATACATGAGGAGATTAAAAGCTCTCACCAAACAAGCTTAAAATTACCAAATTATACATGGGCAAATTATCATTGAAGGGGTTGTTTGGGGAGTTTAAAATTCTGAGAAGCAGCTGGTTGGTAGCCAGCTTGTGAGAATTAGAAAAGCTGGGTTTCCCAGCTTCTGGCTTCTAGTTCATTTTCTGAATTCTACAACTACAGCTTCTCAGAATCTGGACCAAAAGCTGAATTGTTTGGGGGAGCTTCTGATTTTGGGAGAAGCTACAGCAGCTAGAAGCTTCCCCAAACAGGGCCGAAGTAGCATTATGGTGATTAAAGCCCATTCCACCTGCAAGTGACCAAAACAGATACCAGCTAGCTACAGTACTAATGTTGTTAAGTTGCAGTACCGCAAGATTACTAAAGTTTAAATGACCTAGTACTCATGCATGCCATAGTAAGCATGCCCTACTAATTAAGCATGTCATATTGTACCTGGTACTTGGAGTATTTGCTAAGGTAGATATAGATATAGGCAGAGCCAGGCGATCTTTGCTTTTCTTGTACATGCATGTGTGTTCATGTGCCTTACTATCTCTCTCTCTAGTTCACTTTGTGCCAGAGAGAGAAGAGTTTTCTAGAGGAAAACCAGATAGACAATTAAGCATGGACAGGCAGGACAGGAGAGATTTACAAGCAGGCTAGCTAGATTCTTCTTACTATTATGAACCAATTAGCCAAATCACAGGTGCAGCCAATGCGGAGTAGTATATTTCTTCTCAATCCATTGAAAAAGGTGGTTGCTTTGCAAGCATACAGATGCAATTCAACTGATGTTAAGACAGCAAAAGCAGCAGGCAGCTGTAGCTGCTTCAGTTAAAGTAAACACAGTTACACACACAGGTAGGAGTAGGTTGGAGTGAGAAGTTTCAAGCAAGATTGGCGGGCAAACAAACCACATGGAGTGTGTGGCTGTGGCATCATGCGTTATCATTTGTTGATGAAGATGTCTTATCAGAAAAGTTAACAAATTCCGGTCACTGCTCTGAACAAATCTCTGTATCAGGCTCCAAGCTCTGAACAATTCAGTAATCAGTACTACTAGTAGCAGTGAAATGGCAAGAAAATCGATCAAACTTGTTTAGTTTCTAACTAAATATAGGTTTAACTCAACGCAGACGCACTAGAAATGAATGTAAAAAGTACTTTACAAAAACTAAACATGTACTACCTGCATACGAATTCTGCTGCCATAAGCTTTAATCAGCAAACTACATGCAAAGCTGAGATAAAAAAAAATGACAAAGGTTTCACGAGCTAAGCCCAACGGCATTAGTTGTCATCATGACTCATGACCTACCAAACTGCTGATCATCTCACGCATGCCATCTGCATTTGATTTCCTCCAACCAAATCCCAGAAATTTATTACTAGAGCAATGCATGTTGTGGCTAGATTGATAAAGGGAGCAGAAATTGAATTGAAGATGGCGGGAGAGAAGGAAAATACAGAACTGGAGACAGTTAGATTTGGTGTCCTACTACTGATAGTACAGAGCAAAGTACAGCAGCTTCAGTTTGGCAAATCTTCTTCTTCTCTGCTTCCTTCTCTTCTCACTTTTATCTCAAGCAAACCAGACCAAATCACAGTTTGTTGGGATGGTTGTGATATTGGTCCTACACATTTATATCACATTGTTTTTTTTTTGGTTGTCATTCTCACACGCAGTGATAGTTTGCAACTCGTATATATCCACGATGGTATTTTGCAAATTCCCTTTAGGAAAATAAAATGGAAGTTCCCAAGAATTAACAGCATAAAAAGATTTTTTATATAGTAAGAAAAAATATGTACCAATATATACTACCTTCGTCCCAACTTAAATGCAGTTGTGGGTTTCTATGTCCAATGTTTGATCATTCGTCTAATTTGAAAATTTATTAAAAAATAAAAAAAATAGTCACAAATAAAGTACTATTTATGTTTTATCATCTAATAACAACAAAAATACTAATTAAAAAAATTTAAATAAGACAGACGGTCAAACGTTGAACTGTGCAAAGCTGCACTCTTTATAGGACGGAGGTAGTAGTAGTTATATTTAGGGTGTGTTTAGTTCTACGCCAAAATTGGAAGTTTGACTAAAATTGAAAGTTTGAAGAAAAAAGTTGGAAGTTTATTTGTGTAGGAAAGTTTTGATGTGATAGAAAAGTTAGAAGTTTGAAGAAAAAGTTGGGAACTAAACCAGATCTTAGCACTGAATAAACCATTAGATGTTCCAAGCCTCCAACACTGACAAAAGGGCTTCCAAGAAAACAAACATGTACTAGCTTTTGCAGCTCAAGACAAGAGCTTCACTGAGAAACCCATGTATAATACTCCTACTTGACATTTCCACCGACCAAAACCTGAAGATAAAGCAGAGTTATAAACATGAGGTGGTGAAAGTAAACTTTAAAGGCGTGACAGTCTAATATAAACATATGAAATTAATGAGAGAGGTGTCACATGGTGAAGGGACCAAATTAGCATCATGGCATGAGTGTACATACAGTTAGGACAAAGGATAACAGGACAGGAAGATTGCAGAGAATGCAACCCTCACATGGCTAGGTTTCTATCATGCCATGACTACTCATGTGCAGCCACAAAAAGAACTCTGACCTGGCTGGAATTTTCAGTGATTCAGATATTGTATATTTGTACTATATGCAATGGATTCATTCTGCAATGGCAATTAATCCTCTCACTTAGGAGTCAGGAATGAGATTAACACAAGTGAGGAGGAGGTTGTTCAGAGCAGGTCCAATAGCGGGCTATAAGACAGCTATAAACATATTTTAAAGAGATAAAGGAAAAAAGAAAAGTAGCGGGCTACAGATCTATAGCTAGCTGCAGCATGGCCTCCAAGACGTAATGAGTGTATAACAGGTAGGACTGGGTATTAATAGTATAATAAGCAACTATTGTATGAATTGGCTATTACATTGGCTCTAAATGATTTGGAGTTAGTAGTTGGCTATACTATTAAACTTACTCTCAGAGGTTAAATTAAATTAGTACTGCTACATCAGCTTGTTATTTGAGCCGCTGGCTATAATTAATATGTTATGGCAAAGTTCAGAATTGTCTTGCATATTTGGCTCCCTATCCAAGATGCAGCATTTCACTTGGGAATTTGGGCTCATCAATGTGTGGTTCATTCAAGAATCAAGAGCGGGAGATTATCCCTGCATCAACTCTTGGCCTATATTAATAGGGATTTTTTTAAAAATGTTTGATTAGGTCAAATTCAGAACGATGATTCCGCTTGTCCCATTCAAAAACACGTCTATGCCTTGTTAAAACAACAGTACAGCACTAAGTTTTTTTTTAAAAAAAATGGAGGGTGCAATAGTGTTGTTTTTGAATGGTAGGTTTCCAAAATTCAATCTTGAGTGAGACATGGTACCATAATCCCTTTACTTTACCATCCATTGTTATCAAAAGCGATTTCAGAAATAGACTCTTTTCACTCGCCACCAGGGACACCTCAACTATATAATTCTGAAATATATTTGATCAAATCTTTTCTTTAAAAAAGATCAAACTAAATGATGGGATATTGCAAAAGCTACAAATATTCAAAGACGTCTTCCATATCTTCACATTTCAAACTGGTTAGCCGCCTACCTATCTAAGAGAAACCTGTCTTATTCTGATTTTGTTTTTTACCCTTTCAATTAAGATAACAAAAAAAGTTTCAACTGGACAAGGTCACTGTAGATGCTTACAAAGACATTAATATTAGTTTTTACCTACTAATGAAGTTTACTTAATTCTTTTGACCAATTAAGTTCAGTTACCAGAGAGGTTGATTGTCATTTCCTTTGCTGGTCAAATGCACTAATAAACCGGTCAAAACAAAAGGGAGGTTGAGACTTGAGAGTCGGTTCAGTACTAATCTACTGCCTCACTGAATAATAAAATACAAAAAGTATATGGTACAGTTGGATAGATCTATTTAGCGTACTAATCACAGTAATCAAATCCAATCAACACCAACCAAAAGGAACAAGGATAGAATACTCCTGCTTACAATCAAATGAGACAATTATTGATAAGGAGACACTCCATATTCCAAATTACCGAATTCAGACAAGTATTTTATAAAGAGACCACCAAAATTCAAATTATAACCAAAACTTAAGAGAATGGCAAAGATCTAAAGTGCAGTAATTGTTTAAATTTCTGAACAGCTTTCTTGATAACTGGAAGCAGTTGTCCATATTAAAGTTAATGCAAGAAAGCAAACGCATATAAAAGACAAAAAAATGAATTGCTTTAATGCACCCTTTTACGGTGAAATCAACAGTAACTGAAAATTTTTAGAAGTGCATTGCAGCTGTAGTAAAACTGGCATGACCTGCAAATTAACTCAAAATTTCTCCCTCTTAAACATGGCAAAAAGGAAAAGCTAGAGAGAGAAAGAGAGGAGAGAGAGGTGACCAACTGACCATTGATAGAGACCACGAGCTGTTCTCGAAGTCACCACCCTGCTCCTCCGGGGGGACCTGCTTCTTCTTTGCTGCTCCTTCCTTGACCCTGGATCTCGCCATTGTTGCCATTGCCACTGCTCCCTACCTACTCCTCCTCTTGCTCCTCCTAGCTTAGCTCTGGACCCGTTTGGATCGCACTGACTCGCTGACCATCACTGTGAGTGAGTGCCCTGTTCTTTCTTTTTTTGAACGAATTTTTTTTTTGAACGAAGTGCCCTGTTCTTTCGATTTGCGCTTGTTCTTGCGTTTCTTGCTCTGCTGGTGCTGGGTGGAGGCGATTCGGTGTTGTCTCGGATCTTCTTTTTATTTTATTTCTGCAACTCTTGAGTTCTGATGCTTTCTGAAGTTCGTTTTTTTTTTTGGTTGTTGTTCTTCTTCGTCAGTTCAGTTCATGGTTCCTGCGAGAGGTTTTTGCGGAACAAGATCTCGTTTTGAACTTTTGATAGCTTATTAATCGATGAGTGGTTGCAGAAGGTAATCCTTGAATACGATTGCTGCCGTGATATTGTTTCTCCGATCTTGTTTTGATTGGTTGAATAATTTCTTGCTTTACCCCGTTTATGTGATTGCTTGCTTACCATTTCAATGACATAGCGATGAAAGAAATAAATAAATAAAAGATCTCGTTTTGATTTGTGAAAACAGCCGCTAATCCTAATCTTAATTCGTTCTGAATGAAGATCCCATCCACGATACCTCAAGATTTGCATCTGCTTCTCCCTTGTACTTGCCCTCTTGTCTCTTTCTGCATTTGCTCCGCCGGCATTTTGGCTCTTCTTGCTACTCTGATCTGGCCAAATTTGACACCTGCTGTCACATTCAGTTATAAAGCTAGTAGTAGTGGTTGGGATTTTTTTTTCCAGTTCAATTCTTGGAGCAATTTGAATCTGCATTTGAAGAATCGGTGCTCCTTTGCAGAATTGGGAGCTGTGGGCAGAAAGACTAGGCCTTGTATTGTTCAGAGAATCAGAGATTGAAGATGGATAGGAGGATTGGCCTTACCTCACCGTCACCAAAGTCGACCGAGAAGTCCGGGAGAGACTTGAGATCCGGAGGTGACGCCAATGGCGGCGCAAACACTAACAGTAACTCCATTCCCAGAGGTGATAAGGAGAAGGGAGTCAATGTGCAGGTCATTCTCAGATGCAGGTGAAGAGAGCTCAGCAGTTGCAGTTCAGAAATTATGTTTGGTTCTTCTTTTTTTTTAATGGTTCTCACAATGTGAATTTTGCTGCATTCAGGCCCATGAGTGATGAAGAGACAAAGTCGAATACTCCGGTAGTGATCTCGTGCAATGAGCGCCGCCGTGAGGTCGCCGCGACACAAATTATTGCCAATAAGCAGATTGATCGGACCTTTGCATTTGACAAGGTATCAGATCATATTTGGCAGTCACTTCATTAGGCCTATTTTTTCAGTGGTGACTTGCTGTGGTCACTTGCCTTGTACTTTGCATTTACTTATTATTGTGTTGGCTCCACGAATGTTAGTTTTGGCAAAAAATTTAGTGAAGTGGTCATTCTGTGCAGGTGTTTGGTCCAGCATCGAAGCAGAAGGATTTGTTTGAGCAATCTATCTCACCAATAGTAAATGAGGTCCTTGAGGGCTATAATTGCACAATTTTTGCTTATGGGCAAACTGGTACTGGGAAAACCTACACAATGGAGGGAGGTGGAACTAGAAAGACCAAGGTAAAAAAAAAGTGCTTGAGATCATTTAAAATCGCATTTTTGGTTTTTCTGCATGTTCTTTACAATTGACTTGTGCTTGTAACATCCAGAATGGTGAACTCCCAACTGATGCTGGAGTTATCCCAAGGGCTGTTAGGCAAATCTTTGACATTCTTGAAGCCCAGTGCGCTGAGTACAGCATGAAAGTCACCTTCCTTGAGCTCTACAACGAAGAAATCACTGATTTGTTGGCCCCTGAAGAACCAAAGTTCCCTATTGTTCCTGAAGACAAGACAAAGAAGCCTATTGCCCTCATGGAAGATGGCAAAGGAGGCGTTTTTGTGAGAGGGCTTGAAGAAGAAGTCGTGTACTCCGCTGGTGAAATCTACAAAATTCTTGACAAGGGTTCTGCAAAGAGGCGCACTGCAGAGACACTGCTGAACAAGCAAAGTAGTAGGTCACACTCCATTTTCTCTATCACAATTCACATCAAGGAACTGACTCATGAGGGTGAGGAGATGATCAAAATTGGGAAGCTTAATCTAGTCGATCTAGCTGGTTCAGAAAATATCTCACGGTCAGGTGCTAGAGATGTGAGTAAACTTAAAATTTTCTATTCATTGATTAAAATATAATATATCTATCTGATTTTTCAACTGCCCAATACTACTTTTGATATTGAATTATCATTGCAGGGCAGAGCGAGAGAGGCTGGGGAGATCAACAAGAGCTTGCTGACACTTGGTCGAGTCATCAATGCTCTTGTTGAACACTCTGGACATGTCCCATACAGGTAATTCTAAGGACAGTGTCCTGGCAGATTTGATTCTAGAAACATTTTGGCATTTTGCCAAGGGTGTTTATATGTTGCTCCATTTAATTGTTCCAGAGATAGCAAACTGACAAGATTGCTAAGAGACTCATTGGGAGGGAAAACAAAGACTTGCATTATTGCCACAATATCACCTTCAGTATATTGTTTGGAAGAGACACTGAGCACACTGGACTATGCACACCGTGCTAAAAATATCAAGAACAAGCCTGAGGTTATTGCCTAAGCAAGTTATATTTATATCTGACTATTTAGTACAGTAAATTTGTGGTAGCCTAACTTGCTCTTCTTACTGCCAATATTCAGGTGAACCAAAGGATGATGAAATCTGCTGTGATCAAGGACCTGTACTCTGAAATTGACCGTCTTAAGCAAGGTTTGTCTTCATGATTATTATTATTCTTTTGTAGAGCATTGAAGCGGTAGGAATCATACAGTGTGTATTCACCCCGTCTCCTTTATGTCTTCAGAGGTGTTTGCTGCAAGAGAGAAGAATGGTATATACATTCCAAGAGAACGCTACCTCCAAGAGGAAGCCGAGAAAAAGGTTTCTCTTTTTCCCACCAAATCCACATTAGGATTGTTTCTATAAGCTGAGGAAAAGCTTTGTTTTCTAAATCTGCATCTCATCTTTCTGAACCTATTGTCTTTACTTAGGCCATGACAGAGAAAATTGAGCGTCTGGGAGCTGATTTAGAGGCTAGGGATAAGGTATGTTTGTCTATAAGCATGCATAACACCAGAAGAAAAATATTAGCTTGTTAACAACTGAATGTATTTTTGTACCAATGAGCAGCAATTGGTTGAACTAAAAGAGCTTTATGATGCTGAACAACTTTTGAGTGCAGAGTTGAGTGAAAAACTCGGGAAGACGCAGGTACCTCTCCAGTTTCCCAACGATCAGTATATGTGCAGTTTATAGTACATATAATCATTATTCTGTCTCTTGAATGCAGAAAGATCTGGAGGACACCAAGAATGTTCTGCATGATTTAGAAGAAAAATACAATGAAGCAGAGTCAACCATTAAGGAAAAGGAATATGTCATCTTTAATTTATTAAAGTCAGGTTAGTCAAAATAACCTATTCTGGCAACACCTGTCTTAGCATGTCTTGGTCATTACTTATTGTTAAGAATACCGGCAAATGAAATTATCAAATGATGTGAGGAATTTACTTATTGTTGATTTTGCCACAGAAAAATCACTGGTAGACTGTGCATATAACCTCCGTGCGGAATTGGAAAATGCAGCAGCAGATGTTTCAGGGCTATTTTCCAAAATAGGTTAGGGATCTCAACTTGATTACCTTTATTCTCGATTACTGTTATGGACTTAATCTCACTTCAGTTGTCCTTGTTCTCGATTACTGACAGAGCGTAAAGACAAGATAGAAGATGGGAACAGGTCACTCGTGCAGAGATTTAGATCTCAACTGACCAATCAGCTGGATACCTTGCATAAAACTGTGTCCACCTCAGTCATGCAGCAGGAGAATCACCTCAAAGAAATGGAAGATGATATGCAATCCTTTGTATCTTCAAAAGATGAGGTTATTCAATCTCCCATCATCTTTTTCACTTCCCAGTTTCTTTTGTATGAATGATCTTCCAGGGGTGTATACTGATAGCGTCAGCTACCAATTTTTAGGCTGCTCAAGGGCTAAGGGAGAGCATACAAAAGTTGAAACTTCTCCATGGTTCAGGCATTACAGCTTTGGATAGTTTAGCAGGTGAAATTGACATGAACTCTCAGTCAACATTTGAGAGATTGAACTCGCAAGTGCAATCACACACGTCATCTCTTGAGCAAGTAAGCTTACTTCTTTTGGCCTGCTTGTAACAGCAGTATGTATTGCAATATTTCTGATTGCCCTTCCTATTGATAGTGTTTTGGAGGAATTGCTTCAGAAGCAGACAATTTGTTAAATGAGCTTCAGTGTAGCCTTTCTAAACAAGAAGAGAGGTTAACCCAATTTGCAAAGAAGCAGCGGGAGGTTCGTCTCATGTTGTAACACTAAACTACTAGCTGTCTTCATCCACTCTTCTGTTGTAAATTTTGTTCTTCTCCACAGGGACACTTACGAGCTGTGGAAGCATCACGGTCCATCTCAAAGATCACTGCTGGTTTCTTCAGCTCACTTGATGTTCATGCATCTAAGCTCACGAGTATTTTGGAAGAAACGCAAAGTGTGCAAGATCAACAACTTCTTGACCTTGAGAAGAAATTTGAGGTATGTTAATTATTGCATCAACAATAAGCAATTCATAAGCTAATATTTTGTTTTGTGTCAATATGTAATTTTGCCATTTTAAACAGGAGTGTGCAGCTAATGAAGAAAAACAACTTCTAGAGAAGGTGGCAGAGATGCTTGCAAGTTCCCATGCAAGGAAGAAGAAGCTGGTAAGGACTGTCCATTTGTTATACTTTGGCTTTTGGTCATCTGATAATCTTATTCTCTAGATAGATCAGCTATCAAAAGAAGTTCTGTGGTGATAAATAGATGAGTTGGAGGCTATTTACAAAATTACTACACATTGCTGAATGTGACCGTGATTCCGCGAACATGTACTGCAGGTCCAAACAGCAGTAGGTAACCTTCGAGAGAGCGCTGTAAACCGCACAAGTCACCTACAGAATGAAATTTCAACTGCCCAGGACTTCACTTCGTCCGTGCGGGAAAAGTGGGGCTTTTACATGGAAGAAACTGAGAAGAATTACATTGAAGATACCACTGCAGTGGACAGTGGAAGGTCGTGCTTGGCAGAAGTGCTTGTGGAATGGTGAGTACTCAGTATCATGGCATCATGCTGTGAATTGTGATACCTTCTGCTATGCTATACGGAATCACGGATGTCTCAATGTTTGACCATTGCTATCTCAACTGCAGTAAGGCAAAGACAACCATGGGTGCACAACAGTGGAAGAACGCCGAGGACTCTCTTTTCAGCCTTGGCAAAGGAAATGTGGAATCGGCAGATTCAATAGTCAGGTACCAGAATAGAAAATATCAAGTACTTGAAACATTCTTATCGTATGCTATGAACAATGACCATTATGCTATATTGGTCTGTGCATGAAACAGGACTGGAACCGAGGCTAACCAATCGCTGCGTTCCAAATTGTCGTCTGCGGTATCAACTACCCTTGAAGAAATAGATATAGCAAACAAGGCCCTTCTTTCTTCCATCGACAGTAAGATTTACAGTGAAAATTTTGAGTTACTGTAGCACAGTGCGTGACAATCAAATTTTCTTTCTCACCGCAACTTCTGTTATTTCAGGTTCACTAAAACTTGACCATGATGCGTGCGCAAACATTGGCTCCATAATCAAACCATGCCATGAGGAAATAAGCGAGTTGAAGGGAGGACATTACCACAGGGTTGTTGAGATTACTGAAAATGCTGGGAAATGCCTAGAGGAAGAATATCTGGTGAGTAGTCATGAAAAGTAACAGATAGGAGAATGTGATCTGTCTCTTACTGACCAAATTGCTATTGCTTCTTCTCCTTGAACACCTCAGGTGGATGAACCATCATGTTCGACTCCGAGAAGGCGGCAAATCGACCTGCCAAGCATGGAATCCATTGAGCAGTTGCGAACCCCGGATTACGATGAGCTTCTCAAATCATTCCGAGAGTCGAGGGCGAGTTTGAAGCAGGCAAATGGAGACATGAAGCATTTCTTAGAGGTGCAAGAAGCTACACCACCATCAATCACAGACCCGAGAGCTCCTCTTATAGCAAGAAATTAGATTTATAGAGTGAATGTACAAAAGGAACAAATTGTTTAGCTTTGATTTTTGGGGTATTGATTTACTGTTGATAGTGCCATTCGATTTATTGCTGCTGTTGGTTGGGATGGGAGGTCTGAAGCTGATCTGTTTGTAGAGATCAGTAGAAAGGCATGTGTATTTACTACTGCATAATTGAGGATAATGTTAGCTCTAGTGTAATATATATCCACACAGGTAACAATGACAAGTGCTAGTACAGATTTGACTCAGATAATCTTCCATGCTTTGCTGCAAATTTGAACAATTATTAGAAGCAAAAGGAAAGGAATTGAGTACAATCCATGATATTTTTCTTTTGATCTTTTGGAAGAAAGAGCAGTTGAAATGTCAAGTTCATTGAGGTAGAAGAGAAGTTCAACCTAATTTGAAAACAAGAGATTATGTTTACAGTACCGAGCTAAGTCGGCAACCAAAAGAAATGAAGGAAAAGAAAAGGTCTGAACTCATGGTGGGGTTGTCATTTGGCAGCCAAGAAATGATGCTTTGACAAAGGAGAACTCGCGAAGATTTGGGATGATTTCTATATGAGGTTTACCAGGTCCTTGAGTTGGTGAATCCTCTAAAAAAAATAGCCTTTTCTGTACCTCATACACACAATTAGCCAAATCCTTTTACATCACCATCATTCCATCAAGTAGTATCGACTCAAGCAGATACTACTGTATTACACACTCTTAGAATTGCATACAGCACAGTACCACAATACCTATTACTACCTACAACTTAAGTCTTAATATCACTGATTTTTTTTCAGCACACATAGCAAATTAACAGGTAAACATACTAGAGTACCAGTGTACCACACATAAAGTTGCTCTATTACTACAGTAAGTACTAGAACATGTCCAGCTGCAAGCACAGGGCGGCTGGTTGCTTGAACTGGCCGGAGTACTAGCACCACTACTTCATCTCCATCTATTGCATAACATTCCTGCTCTTCTCAAATGTCAGATATCAAATCACTGATTATTTTATCTCAATATCAATCATGGGTGTATAACTGTAAACAATAATAATAGTCATCGATGCACATATGATCATATTTCAATCTTCTTTCGTGTCAATTGAAGTGGACCAATTATGTACATAAGTGAACTTCAGTTGAAAATGAAGCACATGCATGATGCATGGGTCTGCCACTATGGTATTCAAGAATGGAGTGGACACAGATATGATCAAGCATTTGAATTAAAATCATAGCACATCTGCATGCCACTAGAGAAAGAAAAACTATGAAAGCTTGTTTCATGAGGTGAATGTACAAACACGGGTTGAAAAACCTATTTCAACTACAAAACATTGTGTCGGAATTGAGGCCTGATACACTGATAAGGTGGTGTCAACACATAGATTAATACAGCAACATGAAAGCTGGTCGCTGGATGCTGCTTTATACCCTGCAAAACAAGAAGAACCATCACCAAGGGGATAAGTGATGAAGGAAGAGCATGGCTATGATAACACATGCTCTATGAAAATCTACCAGTATAATCGTGGAACATTTTTCTCTCTAAAGAATCTACCCTTTCAGATCACACTGGGAATATTAATGAGGATGCACGCTATAAAAAATAAAACATGCTTCTCACACTCTATCTAGTTTTCTATGCTAAGCATTCCTGTCCTAATAATGTTATAATACAGAATTCTCAGGAATGCAGAGATGTAAATGACCTATCGCTGGGACATATAAAGAATGTGATAAGAATTTCCAGATCAATCTGTTCTCAACAAACCTTAGCTAATGATCAGGGTCAGGATCGCCTTCCAAATCACCAGCAGAAGGGTCCTGAATTGCAGGATCCTCACTATCCTTATCTTCTCCTGATGCTGTAGAATCTGTCTTTTGTTTTTTCGCATCGCTTGCAGTAGGGGTACCATCATCCTCTAAATCATCGTTTCCAGGGTCTGCAGGATCCGACTCTTTCCTTGGTCTCTTCCATTTTTTGGTAGACGATGTGCCATCATCCTCAAAATCTTCCTCCTCTCTACCCCTGTGCAGGTAGGTCCACAATTTTTTGTCATTGTCATACAGTACACAAGGATCGCGCTCATAATGCAGACGATCAAGAGCACCGCTGACAACTTGGTTAACAGCAGCCTCTTTATTAGATTCTTCGTGGTTTAGATACTGTGAATCTTTGAGAAGTGTGCACACATCAGCTCTTGTTCCAGTTCTTGCAGGCAACCTGGCAGCAGCATCTCTTACAAGACAGAGAATAGTGACATGAGGCGGGCGATCAGGTAAGAGCATGGGGTGTCCCCTAGCTTTTGCTGTAGGCTTGCCACCTCCCCTTCTCAAGGGAGCAACTATAGATTTCTCCCCATCAGCAGCAGTATAGCAAAAGGCTCTATCAGGAATTGAGTACCTCAAAAATTCTTCACGCTGGAAATACGCTCTTGCTTCCTCCGAGCTTGGACTAATTGTGTTTAGACTTTTCTGGGCTCTAAGGTCCTTGAACCTTTCCTTCAAATCCAAGTTTGCAGGATCTGGTGCCGGAGGTGGTGGAAGGGATCCTATCTGCTTAAGGGTTTCCTGACCACTTTTCAGCCAGTTAGCAAATGCGTCAACCAACTTCACAAGCATTTTGTGTGGTATACCCCATGCATCAGGAGAAGTTTCTTCATTAGGATCACCATCTGAAGAACCAGAAGGCAGTGGGCCAACCCAAAGCCAGCTTTTGTTTGACTTGTCATAGGAAACCAGTGCTTTCCATCCCTTTGCACCTAGTGGAGCTGTTCTAGATGAGAGTATCTTTAATACTCCTCGAACTAAATCCTGAAGTGGCTCTTGTGTTTCAAGTATATTAGGGTCACTGGGATTTGATCTAATCCGAGTAACAATCTCTTGAACGGTGAACGCTGGCAAATTGCTCGGCGTGGTCTGCTCTGCGGCACTGGCATCTGCAGTCTCGTGACCTTGTTGGGCTTTCTCTGGACCACTGGCATCTACAGCCTCATGACCCTGTTGGGCTTGCTCTGTTGCACTTGGATCTTGAGGCGTTTTGCAATGTTCTTCATTGTTGAAGCATTTTCTGCTCTCCTCCCCGTCAGGTTGCTTGGCCGACAGAGTATCCTCAGTAGGGGTGGCCATAGCCTTCCTTACAGCAGTTAGAAGATGCACAATAGAGAATGAAAACCCAGTGTGGATAGTTGGTGTGATTGGTACATATTTTTTCTTTGGTTTCTCAGGTTCTACCACTACCACATTTACTTCTGGCAAGACAGGAGCTGGTTCATCTACAACAACTGCATCCGTGACAGCCTCTGGAGCAGCTGGCTTCTTTTTACCTTTCTTCTTTGAGCTACTGCTGTTCTCCACCAACTTTGGAGCAGATGGCGCGTCCTCACCATGTTCGGCCGGGCTTGTAGCTTCAACCCTTCTTTTCTGCTTTTTGGATCCAGAGCTGCAACTTGCCAATGGCATCTTCTTTTTTTCAACATCACCATTAGAATCAACACAGCCTGATCCACTGGCTAGCCTCTCACCATTCTCTGGTGACCTGAGTGATTCATCAGCATTCTCATTGCTGTCAGGCAACTCAGTGTTTCCATGATCATGTGTATCGACACTGGCCATTACTTTCCGCTTTCTTTCACCCCTTGCTGCTGGAGGCCTCATCATTTCACTAATCTGTTCTGTCTCTGTGACATGCACATCACGTAAATAATCAGACTCTGTAACATTTACTCTGTGAGTCCCTTTACTCTGGTAGGGTTCAAAATCTTCAGTAGCAGTTGGATAATTTACTTTGGAAGCTTTAGGAAGCTTGTTCAATTTTTTGGCACTATATGCTGGTCTATGAGACCCAGAATGGTGTTCTGGCTGCCTTTTAAGATCCATGTCCCCTCCACCTTCAAACTTTTCCGATGAATCGGATTCTGTCTCCTCACTCTGAGTGTAGACAGCATTGCTCCTCGAGTACTTCTGGCCAATTCTGTCATACTGACTAGTGGATTTACCTTTGATCTTCCCCGGTATCTTGCCTCTATGATCAGACCCAAAATTTGCATCACTAATTTGTTTCTCAATACTTTTATAAGACTTAACCTTCAGACCATGACCAGCTTGAGTTTTTCTGCTCCTGTAATCGCCTGCAGACTGCCCTCTCTGCCAGTCATTCATGCTACCGGCATAGCTACCAGCTGGCCAATCCATCTCATCCCCTTTCAGAGCTTTACTCGACATACCTTGTCCACCATACATCCAATCTCTGTCAGAGTACTTTGCATTCTTTGCTGTATCAAAATATGGACGATCATATGCTGCTGCTACGGTAACTCCCTGATTAGCATTGGCATTCCTGCCATAGTAGTAAGAAGAACCATTTTGGTTCTCGTGGTAGTTGTTTCCATACAAATTTCCATCATAGCTTGCAGCCAATTCCTTCTTTCCTGGCTTCGGCATTGGCCTATGAGAACGAATCATTCGCAAATCCCTGTCATCTCCCAACTCCTCGGAATGAAGGCCTTGCTGACTCCTGCGAGGCTTCCCTCTGCGCATGACTCCTGAATCATAGCCATAGGCGTTATCTTGGCGAGAAAGCTCGGAGAGTGCCATAGCAGCATCACGGCCAGCCCCTCCAATGTACTCCTCGCCCAAACCTTTTGGCGCTCCCAAGCGCAACAGACCCTTAGACCGCTCCTTCTCAGGCTTCCCTGATTTCTTCAATACTGTCTTATCAGGCTTCAGCCGCATCAAGGATGGGTCCCCATACTCCCTGCTCTCCGAGTCAGTCTCTGATCCAGCTCGGCCACCCAAACCAAGATGAGCTTTTTGCTGCTGCTGCTGCTGCTGCTGCTGCTGTTGCTGTGCTTTCATGGCATCCAGTGCCCTTAGCTTCTCGTTAATGTTGTACCCCTGGCAACCCTTCCAACAGTCCTTTACGTCCCAGAGACCCCGGACCATGGAATTGTGGTAGCTTTGCAGCCTGTAGTAATGCTTCCGCCGCTCTGCAAAGCGGGTACCGCGGCGATAAAGAGCAATCCTTGGGTCACATAGGCCTCCTTTGAGCCTGTCGAAGAGGGCAGCAAGGGGACTCCCGAAGTGGAAGTTGTCTCCCCTAAGTAGCTCGGCAAGCGTGCGCGCAAAGGTCTCCTGATCCATGTCAGGCAGCAGAGCGGCGAGGCGTTGCCGCTCCTCCTCGGACAGCAGGGTGTTCCACGCGTCGAGCGAGAGCACGTCGCCCAATCCGGCAAGGTCGTAGAGCTCGAGCGGCACGGCAACACTCTGGTCCCCAACCTGGCACATCTCGGACCCTGCCTCCCCGAGCTCCGTGATCTCCAGCTCGTCGGACCCCATCCCAGAGTCCTCCTCGTCTTCCTCCTCCTCCTCAACCTCGTCATCCTCCTCCTCCTCCTCCTCCATCCCAACATCGCCGCCGTTCTCCTCCCCGCCCGAGAAGTCGCCCGCATCGGACTCCTGCGACGGCGTCGCAGGTGACTCCTCCTCCTCCTCCTCCTCCTCCGTGGCATCCGGCGAGGCCTCCCCATCAAGCCTGGGGACCCTGCCGCCGCCACTGCTCCTCACGATCGCCATGGCCTCACCTCGCACCTGCGCCACCACCACAAACAAATAATCAAAACCGCAAGAAACCAACAGAGATCCAGAGACCAGTCAAAACCCTAGCCCACACAACCCCCCCAACCCAAATCCAACTCCACCGCAAAAAAAGAAGACCACCAACAAAAAAATACAAGAAACAAACAAGAAGCTCACCAGAATCGCGGGAACCCGGCGGCGGGACGAAACACGAAACCCTAACCCTAGAGCGGCGGTGGGGAGAGGAGGGGGAGGGAGAAGAGAGGAGGAAGCCGCGGATAAATAGTGGGCGAGAGGGGGAGGAAGACGACGGCGACGTGGAGGGGCGGGGCGCCGTCGGATGCGGCCGCGGGAGTCCCGGATGAGGGAATACGGAGGATGCGAGGGGGCGGGGCGCAAAAAAGGGGAGAGAGAGATGAGATATGAGATGAGATGAGATGAGATGGGCGAGTGAGTCGGGGGGAGGGGGAGGAGGGAGATAGACGGAGACGGAGAGGAGGAAGGCGAAGAAGAGAGGAGGAAGGGGAGGGGAAAGGGTGGTGGGAGCGGGTTACAGGGTGTGGGCCCCGTTAGCCCGTTTGGCTGCCCGGTGGGTCCCACCTATGTTGGTTTAGCGGGTTTCTGGGTTTGCGCGGGAAGAGAATTGCTTGGGTTGATTTCGTGTCATTTGCTTGGGAAGAGGATTAGGAATTTAGGATAGGAGATACTCCATAATACCAACGTACCCCTTCCATTATAGAACATAATAACAGTTTTAGGATGGATAAATATCCTAATATTACGAATTTCGACATGTTACGAATCTGGATATGAAATATATTTAGATTCGTAGTAGTATAATATATCTCATATATTCAAAATCTCTTATACTTTGGGGTGAATGGATTAGATATTAGGTGCTTGTACAAATGATGAACTTTTTTATCAGCGTCAAAGATAGAATGTTCAAATGTATAAGCAAACAGTTCTATGCACTTGATGTTCTGTTGACTCTGATCAATAATTTTATTACTAGTAGTTCATCTCAATGAGTTCTATTGCGTTGTTTCACCTCTATCACTGTGATATTGCTCTCCCAAAATAGTCGGCTTGAAAATGATTATATTGTATTATCAAATTGTCATATATGTACATATATTGATACGCTTTATTATCTATAGAAGAGTTGACAACTTAGGGGTATTATTACGGAAGAGTTAACAACTTAGAAGTATTGTTACGGGAATGCTAGGGACTAGATCCTATCTCCCGTCCACGTACAGGACACCCCAATTCCTCAAATGGAGCCGGACTTGCTCCGCTCTAATGTTCTTCTCGCCCCCAACCAATCCTCCCCCTCCGCTTGGACCAACTCATCCTTTCCAACGACATTAGCGCTATAATTCTTCGATGGCACTGTCGTGTCAAGAAGAGTGTAGGGTGAACAATGTGCAGAGATAACGGGGAAGCTCATTGTCGGGTGCAGTGGCGGATTTAGGCCACAGCTTTTTGAAAAAACGTCCTATAAACCTCAATTTTCAGGTATAAATTTAAAAGAATTTAGAGAAATGATCCCACTTAAATACAAAATCACTAGTAATTGATCCTACGTGTTTAAATTCCTGGCTTCGCCACTGGTCGGGCGACGAGCTTGACTAATAGCAACCCCTTATTATTATTATGTTGTGTTGTCGTTACTATTCGTTAGGTTGGCTCTCATATTGAAATTTTGACTCCACCACTGATCTAAAATACCATGAACAGTATATTGAAAAGAATACAAAATAGCATCCGCCATTGCTCTTAATTTTACACCAAATCCGATTTTCGTCCTTTAACCTCAAAACCAGATACAACTAGTCCCTGACCTGTCAAAACCGGTGCAAATGAGGTCCCTCGGCGGTTTGAAAGGCGGTTTTGGTTGACGTGGCGCCTACGTGGCTAGTTTGACTAGGTCTCCATCTCACTTGACAATGACGTAGCGCTTACGTGGCAATTATATCTCAGAAAAATAATAAATAACCATGGGTCCACATGTCAGCTACACATAAAAAATAATTTTAAAATGGTGGGACCCACGTGGGCCCACATGTCAGTGACAAAAAATATATGGTGGGTCCCATGTGGGCCACACGTGTCATTCCCTCTCAGCTCTCCCCCTTCTTCCTCAACGCGTCGTCTTAGGGCGCTTCTCGTGCCACGGGCCGTCTCACAACCGTTGTCGTCCCAGTCCCCGCTGCCTCTGACGACGGCGGCGGCCGAAGCATGCTGGCCGAGCGGCGCGGCGGCAGGCCACAGGTGGAGCGGAAGGGTAGGCGGAGCGGCGACGACGGCAGGCCGCGGGCAGCGGAGGTGGCCAAAGGAGGAGGAGGCAGAGGAGGAGGTCGCCAGCGAGCACGACAGCTCTTCTTCGCGGGAGCATCTCCTCCGACCGCGTCCGACCGCCGCGCAAGGAGCCGCAGAACAATTTGAGCAAACGAGCTATTTCCAGTTGATGACACGATCTGCAAGTAGTATCATCTAAAACAGATATTAAAACAGCACTAAAAAACGCATAAAGGATCAGCACTGGAAATTTCATTAACCATAGTCTAGATCAGAAGATCTGCACGTTCTTTTTCATCCGATTCTTCAATTTCTTCGGTACTAAGCATAAACCCATAACACCTCAAATCTCATAAATCCTTGCCTAACATCACGAGAGAGCAAGAGAAAAATGCAACAACAACTGAATCTAGATAGCCTAACATTACGAGAGAGCAGGAGCGAAATGCAACAGCAACTGAATCTAATCTAGGTAGGCCTGTCTGAGCTCCGGGCGGCCCAGCCTCTGCGCCGCGAGGGGGCGAAGGTCGGCGGTGTTCCCCACGGGGAGGCCGTGGTCGTCGCTCAGCCGCTCGGTGTCCTTGTCCACGCCAACGCCGACACCGACAAAGCAGTCCGCGGCGCCGGCGATGAAGTGGCCGAGGGAGCCCGGGACGTAGTCGGTGTGGAGGAACGGGAAGATGAGGCACCTGCGGTCGACGCAGAGCTGCAGCAGCGCGACAGGGTTCTGCGCGGGGCTGCGCGATGGTGGTGGACTGGTGGCGGCGGCCGCCGTGGCAGGGGCGCGGGCCGGGCGAGGTGACCTCGATGGACCTCGGCGGCTCTCCCTCTCTCTTACTTTTCTGAGGTCGGGGCGCAGGGAGAGAGAGGGATGCGGGCGCGTGTGATGACGCCGAATTGGCCGAGGCCGCCGAGGATGGCGAAGAAGAGTTCGGGGTCGGCGGAGGGAAGAAGAGGGAGAGCCGAGAGGGAATGACATGTGGGGCCCACGGGGGCCCTCCATATTTATTTTTTGTTTCGCTGACATGTGGGTCCACGTGGGTCCCACCATTTTTAATTTATTTTTTTTGGTAGCTGACATGTGGACCCACTATTTTTTTATTATTTTTTGAGATATAGTTGCCACATAAGCGCCATGTCATTGCCACGTGGGATGGAGACCTAGTCAAACTAGCCATGTAGGCTCCACGTCAGCCAAAACCGCCTTCCAAACAGCCGAGGGACCTCATTTGCACCGGTTTTGACAGTTCAGGGACCAGTTATATCTGGTTTTGGGGTTCAGGGACAAAAATCGGATTCGGTGTAAAATTAAGGGACCTCAGATGAACTTATTCCGTCACATAATTAGCCTGGCCCAACAATGCTAACCTCTGGCCCATCTAAACCCTTCGGGAAAAATCTGAGCCGTCCATTCTCCATCGCTTCCATCGCACGGTCTCCACCACCCTGCCCTCCACTGCGGAAATTGCGGAGCATTCCAACCCAACCCGACCCGATCCATGGCCGCCGCCGCCGCCGGCGACTGGACCGTCGTCCGCCGCCGCGGCCGCCGCCGAGGTGACGCGGCGGGGGACGCCGCCTCGCAACCGGACGCTCCACCGCCTCTCCCCGTCACCCCGATCCCCTGGTCCCCCTCCGACCCCTCCCTGGACCCCGCGCACGTCTCCCGCCTCGTCGACCGCGCCCGCGCCGCCATCTCCCGCGTCGTCGCCTCCCGCCTCTACGGGCGCCTCCTCCTCCCGGGATCCCCGCTGCGGCGCCGCCTCGCCCTCCTCGCCCCCACGCGGCTGTCGCTTCTCGGTGTCGGCAGCTTCGAGAACTCCCCCTCATCCCGCCTCCAGCTCGCGCTCGCCGCGCTCCTCCGCCGCGACCTCCTCCTCCTCCCGGAATCCTCCGCCCACGCCGACCTCTTCGACCCCGTCCTCTCCGCGGCCGAGTGCGCCGCGGCGGCGGCGCTGGGCTTCACCGTGCCAGGCGTCAACGACGGGTGCCGCCGCCGCGCCGACGAGCCCACCCTCTTCTACATGCCACACTGCGAGGCGTCGCTCTACGATGCCCTCCTCGCCGCCAACTGGGAGCCACCCTCGCAGCTCCGCCATGTCTGCGTGCTCGGCAACAGCTTCCGCAACTACGCGATCCAGGCGGAGGAGAACAGATCGGGCCCTGCCGCCAGGGCCAAGCACGTCCTCGCGGCGGAGCGGTTCGCGTGGGAGGAGCGGGTCAGCGAGAAGGGCGGCGTGGATGACGACGACGACGACGTGTTCAACCGCGCGTTCAACGAAACGAGCTGGCATTTCTTCGAGGTGGATGACGCCGCCGACTTGGCTGCCGCCGTCGCCTCCACCGGAGGACGGAGATAAGTTCCGAAGTACTCTTCTTAATTTCAGTACTCGTGACTGTAATTGTAAGAGCATTGTTTGTCCAATTGGATGCTTTTGGTGATCAATACTCGATATTTACATCTTAATTAGCTACACCGTGTTACTTAGTTGGTTGCAAATCTATATTTTTTTACATTGATGTGGTGTTAGTTTGATTTGCTATTCTGAACTCTGAAGAACACATGAGAACCCTACCTTCCAGGCATCCATTGACCACTATACACTGAGTAATGAATAACAAGCTGAATAACTGACTGAATGTGAGTCTAGCATAATGATTTCTAGGTAGTATATTCGCAAGGATTTCTATCTGGTCAATAAGATACAAATCCACAAACAACATGTTTGCTGTTCTATAAGACTTCTTTGCCTGTAGTCTGTAGAATCTAGCAGAAAATATTTCCTTGTCAATCCTGTTATTACATATTGACATTTCTTCGACGTATTTGCATGATAAGAAATAGAAAAGGACATAATTCAAGGACTAGGAAAGAAACAATATTCGATGATTATGTATCTACCTAAAAGTATATCGCCTGGCCTAAAGAGTAAAAGGTTAACTTCTGATCCCATAATTGATAATTCTAATGGAAATTTTATTGATTTTAAGCAAGTTTATCTTAAAGTGAGCGTGCGAGTGCTAACTGTACGCACCAGCATTTCGAATGATGGATGTTGTGCTTACAGAGAATGAGCTTGGGATAAATTTATCTAAGGCTCTAAGCTACTAGAAGCAATGCTCGTTGAGGTCAGTGAATGCTGCAAAACGTGTGTGTACTTACTAGGAGTACTTAGCATTTCAAATATATTGCTTTAGGCTGTGCACACACCAAAATGAAGTAGAAGCAAGAAACCGTCAGTATGTTATTGTAACATCGACCTTGCAGTTAGCATGTACTTTGCTCATTGCAATATGGAGAAATTAGAATCACAAGTACCTAGAATTAATACTGTTGTCTGCATTACGTACGTAGATTGCCGTGCTAGAAATATGTGCCATAGTTGGGAATAGTAGAAAAAAAAATCAACCATTACTTGTTATCTGCAAGACAAACAAGCTAGGTAGATCTCCAACTGTTAATTTCCTTGAGTTGATGATTAAATACATGTTATTAGTTCAGCGTGATTTCTGGCTACAAGAAGTAAGCTCAAATAAGATGCTGCACTTGTTTTTTATGGATAGCAAGGTTTTGGATTCATGTTCATAGGGGAATAAATTCACTTTAGGTCCCTCTGTTTATCGCTCAGTCTAATTTTCGTCCCTAAACCGCAAAACTGGGTACGACCCATCCCCCAACTTACGAAAACCGGGCAAACGAGGTCCCTCGGTGGTTTTGATAGCGGTTTTGGCTGACGTGGCGCCTACGTGGCTAATTTGACTCGGTCTTCATCTGACGTGGCGCTGATGTGGCGCTTACGTGGCAATTTGATCTGGAAAAAATAATAAAACCAGTGGGACCCACATGTCAGTTTCACACACAAATAGAGGGAAAAATGGTGGGACCCACGTAGGTCCCATATGTCATCCTCACTCCTCTCTCTCCCCTCTTCTCTCTATCCCTTCTCTCTCTCTGGCCGATGGAGCAGGGCGAGCGGCGGGCGACGGGCCAGGCGTGGCCGACGGCGGGTCAGGTCGCGGCGCGCCAGCCATTCTCCCGCAGCGCCTCCTTCTTCGCGGGGAGGGCGGCGAATCTCCCCCATCGTCCTTCGGATTGCCGGCGGCGGTGGTGGCTAGCCCCGCCCCCGTGGTGAGGTCCGTCCCGCCGGATAGCTTGCGCTCGGTGCTCCAGGCCTTGGTGTCCGACGAGTAGGACCGGCACGCCGTGAAGCTACGGCGCTTGTAGAGGACCAACAGGCGGAAGGCAGCGGGACCCGGTGGGAGCGGATCGGCGGAGTCCTGGAGATCGTCGGTGGTGAGCAGCGCGCACGCGTAGAGCCCGAGCCTGTCCTTCCCGGAGAGGACGGGGAGGAGGATGGCCATTTCACCGATCATGGGGTTGCACACGACGAGCTTAATGTTAGTTAAATCTTGCATGCATGTAGCTACTAACTGTTAGCTATCGGTTTCAATTCTGTTATTGCATTGTGCATGAGCTTCCGGTCTATGGATGCCATGCATGTAGTGGTAGTCATGCCGACCTTGGCGATCGGAGGCGTGAGCACGTTGTTAGGATCGTGGGGATGGACGCGATTGTACCGCGACGTGGGAACGCATCCAATGCGCTCACCTGCATAATGAAAGGGAGAAAGAAAACCAGAAAAGGTGCAGCTTCATCGCACCACAAAACTCAACGTGTTTCCTCGTGTTCGCGTGTGTTTCCACAGCTTGTTCGTCGATCACTTAGGGAAACCTGTCACTTAAGGGCGGCGGAGCTCGACGACGAGGCGGCCTTTCCGTGATGCGACGAGGCGGGAGTTCTTGAAGAGGCCGGGGTTGTCAAACACCCTGTCAAGCTCGCCGCCGCCGAACCTGGAGGAGGCCGAGGGCAACGGGACGAACGAGGCGGCGCGACCGAGGAAGACGAGTCGTCCTCGTGGGTCTGGTGGAAGAAGCCGACGGCGAGGTCGCGGATGAGGTGGCTGGAGGGCGGCATGGAGCGGCAGATGTACACCGCGTTGCCGGTGAGGTGGTGACGAGGCGGCGCCACCGCCTGCAAGTGGCGCGGTGCACCGGACGAGGTCGTGAAGATCCAGCGAGCTAGCCGCAAACACGAGGAGGAGACCTGACCTAGCCCGCCGTCGGCCGCTGCCCCGCCCCGCTCTGCCGGCCAGTCGCTCCGCCCCGCCTGCCACCCGCTTCTGCCATCGCCGCTCGCCCTGTTCCATCGGCCGGAGAGAGAAGGGATAGAGAGAAGAGAGGAGAGAGGATAGAGAGAAGAGGGAGAAGTGAGGATGACATGTGGGGCCCACGTGGGTCCCACCATTTTCCCTCTATTTGGATGTGAAATTGATATGTGGGTCCCACTGGTTTTATTTTTTTTCAGATCAACTTGCCATGTAAGCGCCACGTCAGATGAAGACCGAGTCAAATTAGCCACGTAGGCGCCACGTCAGCTAAAACCGCTATCAAAACCGCCGAGGGACCTCGTTTGCCCGGTTTTTATAAGTTGGGGATTGGTCGTACCCGGTTTTGTGGTTCAGGGACGAAAATCAGACTGGGCGACAAATAGAGGGACCTAAAGTGAACTTATTCCGTTCATAGGGCATGTTGGAATAGGGGATCTTATCCAAACATTGCCTTAGGTCGGCCCATTTAGATAGGGAGATTGATTTGGACTCAAATCTTTCCAAGCAATCCCCCTTGTCCGAAGAGGTTAGATGAAATTACGTCAGCCCTTAGAAATGGTTGCTCTGCTCTTTTGCTTGCATATTGATTTGTGAACGTGTCCCAGAATACAACTTAGTCCCAAATCTTTGTGTTTACTAAACAGTACTAGGTAGTCCCACCGTTTTAGAATGTAAGTCATTCTAGCATTTCCCACATTCATATTGATTCTAATGAATCTATTAGAATCAATATAAATATGGAAAATGTTAGAATGACTTACATTGTGAAACGGAGGAAGTAATTGATAAAAGTAGAATGGTGCCTCTTGCCTTCGTTCATTTATGCTTTGGGTGCTAAAAGCCTAAACCTTACATTTTTTTTCGGTGTCCCCTTTAATTAACATAGTGTAGTGTACTCAATAGTAACTTAACAGCCCTGACGATGTTGCAGTCCACCATAGGCCCATCAAGTTGGGCCAAAACCAGGCCCATGTCAAGGCCCAGCTTACACATATCTCTGCCCTGCGTCCCCTGAAAAGAATATGTGGCCTGTGCTTGGTCCAAATGATGCAGACCTGTTGCGCCAGTGTACTGCAGAACAAATAGGAAATTAAGCTGTAAAAGCTTTGCAAACTTTTTGAAACCTAGCTTTGCAAACTAATGCTTCGGTAAGTTAGTACAAACTGCTTGGCTACTTGCTAGTAGTTGCTTGCTATAACTCACTAGTTACTCCAGTTGCCATAGATTGATTTTGCACTATTATGTAATTCTGTTTTTCTGGTGAAGAGTACCACCTCAAAAGATGGTGTTTCAGGCATTAATGCCACTCACTTCGTAATCCGTTTCTTTAATGGCATACGTCCTTAATTTGCCATTCTAGGGTAGATTAACTGTTTTAGACAAACGGCACAGAGTATATTACTCCTAGTTGTACCATGCGTGCAAGACAGCAAGAGAACATCTTCTGAATCTACTTCACTGTTTGTGCTCTGCTTCAATTTGTTTGTCCCACTGGTTGGGATAGGGATGGTTTGGCCAATAAAATGTGATTAAGTTGGCAGATGTCTAGGACGATATATAACTATATACTAGCTAGTAATCCAGCATGCAGCAAGAGAGAGTCAATGGGTGACAGGATTCTAAATGCGATTTCAGATCGACGCATGGGAACCCTGCAGAGTGGGAAGGGGATCGAGCATGCAGATGCAGAGCTGCATCAACATCAGCACAGTAGCTAGTGTGGGACTGCATGCTGGGCACTGTGCTTGTGTAAGGTGGGGGAGAGATATTGACAACACTTGGAATGTTATGGGTAGAGACAAAATATTAAGATTGCATTGCAGTTGCAGTACGGTGTACATATATACTCCCTCCATCCCTAAATGTTTGACGCCCGTTGACTTTTTTAAACATGTTTGACCGTTCGTCTTATTCAAAAAATTTAAGTAATTATTAATTCTTTTCCTATCATTTAATTCATTGTTAAATATACTTTTATATATACATATAGTTTTACATATTTGATAAAAATTTTTGAATAAGACGAATGGTCAAACATGTCTAGAAAAGTCAACGGCGTCAATCATTTAGGGAAGGAGGGAGTATTACATATGCAACGACACACTGCACTACAGGGTTTGGGTGGTCCTCTCCTCTTCTCTTCTCTCTCTGTGTATACAGTAGGAGATACAGTAGGTTGGCCATTGATCTAGCTACTCGGCGTGCATGACACAGCCAGTCTCTCTTCTGCCTGCCTCCATCCTCCACCATGGATGATGCATCTCTCTCTCTCTCTCTGTGTGTTTTTTTCTTCAGTGCAGTGCAGTGAAATGCAATGCGATGGCCGGTGGCGTGAGGGAGAGGAGAACTGAGAGGAGAGGAATGAGGTGGATATGATTTAAGAGATGATGAGGGAGTGGTCACATCACAGGATCCCCAGTAGAGATCCTTCGTCTACATATGCATGTGTGTGTGTATGCAGTATACTGTATTGCAGTATGCAACAGACACACACACAAACATGTACAGAGAGAAAAAGAAGACAGAGGCATGGCCATATAAGTAACCATACGCACACCTACATATGTAGTAGTAGGAGCACAGCACATGGTGACTAGTGTAGCCTGCAAATTTTGTCACCTTTTGTTACTCTCTTCTGCTCTCTCTGTCTACTTACATTACATGCATGCATGTGTTCTCACTCTCTCTCCTGTACGTCTATCTTGCCATGCCATGCCTTGCTGTTGCTTTGCATTGTACTGACCAGTTTGTAAGCTACCACCATGCAGCATTGCATATAGTGCAAATGGTGCATGTCAAAAAGTGTACTGCAGCTTTCGGGCCTTCGGTTCCCTTCTGTTTTACATGCATCGCCATGGCCTCTTCTTCTTCCTCCTTCCATGCACACTGCCATTGCTGTCCCCTTCCAGAGATCTCTCGATCTAACCCCTCTCTGTCTCCAAAGTCCCAAATCTTTAACCGGTGTGTGCTTGGGTGTGCCTGCCTTTTGCAATGCTACACTTCTTACGTGCATGACGTGCAGCTAGCTAGCATGCGCCTTCGTAATTGGTGAAAACGTACCTAGGTACTATCTCCTTTTCAAAATATAACAACATAGAACTAGACGTGGCACATCTTTATACTATGAATATGAACAGATAATCTGTTCACAGCCTGTACAAATTTATAATACTGTAAGTCTATCTAGGTTTATAGTATTATGATGTGTCTTGTTTGGTATAAAGTTATATATTTTAGGACATATGAGTAAGGAGTACATACGTACCTACTGCTTTTTGAATGCATGCATTACTCCCTCTGATCGATCTATATGGCCATACGTGCATGCCTGCCTGTCTATGAGGTATTGTCCAATCACAGGTTTTAGTGGGCCAGCCAGATTAATTATGGTTTGCTCTGGAGTAGTAGTTTGTTAATTAACTTAGAGCTTTGTTTGAAACTGTCGGTAAAATCAGGTACAATAATATCTTCTCATGTTAATTTGGAACTAATTAATAACTCAAATCAAGAAAGGTCGCATCACGCATTACTTCCATGCACAACTAATTAAGAACTGATCGAACTCCAGTTTTTCATTTCCAAAAGAAAGTGATGATCGAATCCATGTGTAGGAAGAATCTCAGTTAATTATGTTAAGTCCTGTTTAGATTTTAACTTTTTTTTAACTTCTAACTTTTCCGTCACATCGAACTTTCCTAAACACACAAATTTCCAACTTTTAGGTTACATAATTCCAATTTCTTCAAACTTTTAATTTTGACGTGGAACTAAACATAGCCTTAGTACTACTGCTTCCCATGCTTGCTGTTTTCTTTTAGAAACTTTGATGCAAGATCTCAGTCCAGCACGAAGAAGTAGCTAGAGAGGCCACTTCTGAAAAGAGCAACTGAAAATAAATAAAAGGTGTCCCCCTCTACTACATGTAAGGCACACACAGCTATATCTAGACATGCATGTAATTGCACCATGATGAAGAGAGCAATATATGCATAGGCTTCTGCAGCTTCTGCCAATACACATGCATGTAGCTAGGTACGTAGCTAGCTAGCTGCTCATATGCATACATGCTGATATTCATGTACGTATGTATATTGTATACTTGTATATTTGCATTAGCATTGCACACAGATCGATCTCAGACACAATGAATGTGTGTATGTAGTATATAGTATGTGTGTGAAGAGCTAGCTAGCTAGGAGCTGGAGAGAGATGGAACAAGAGAGATCGACAAGATGTTTATTTCACATGCAGATGACTTCAATATGCATATGCAGTTATGCGCAGCTCGGCAGGCCATAAAAGAGGGGGCTGGAATCTGTTTTGAATTGGAGTTGAGCTATAGCAGCCTTGGTCGATGATCAGTGAGTGAATACTACTCCAGCTACTGATCTATCATCGGGGGGCATGGTAGTACTGCTGAATTCTTGAAGAAAGAATTGTAGTATGTGCACAATGAATGCCTAGTTATTAGCAGTGCAGGAGAGATCGAAAGGATACTCTATGTTTTGTTTCTGTCAAGTTATTGCACTAGCATCAGTGTACATGTTTGTGTAGGAGAGGCCGAGTTACTGCATGCAGAACGAAGCAGCATGCAGGCCAGTAGCAGCAGCAGCAGCTAGCTAGCCCGGCCCTTTGATCAGGCAGAGATAAAGTTTTTTGCTGCTGCTGGTGTGCATGTTGTACTGTATCAACATTTCAACCTTTCAGCAAGCAGCATGGCTACCTAGGGTCGTCGTAGTACGTCCTGTGTGAAGAAGAGTGTCCTCTTCTAAAATTCACTCACTTCTTCTCCTCTTTCTCACTGGCCTGCAGGAATTGATATGATGCTGCATGCTTTCTGTGTAAGTAGCCAGTGCAAGACTAGCAATATTACTATACTATTATTCTTCGAGATGCATGGAATCGTCAGGTCAGAGAGGGAGACAGTATATATCAGCCCCAAGAAATGTTCTGGGTTGGCTTGGCTAGCTAGCTCGTATATATTGTACATACAGTAGCAGTTAACTGCTGCCTCTGCACTGCATGCATGTTTGAATCAATTCGTCTTTGGTACAAAACATAATATACTTTTGGGTACACACCTTCAGAGATCTCTCTGCATCTCTACTACTATCAGCTCGGCTTCATGGCTTTTGTCATCGCCTCACGTGAAGAAAGACAGCAGCCTGCATGTATATGTATGATCTTCTCTTCTTCACACATGAGTAATGGATATAGAGCTAGCTTGCTACTGTAGTAGGATCCACATAACTGCACCCGATCTTCCTACTCGCTGTACTTTCTCAAGCTCTAATGTCTCTATCTATGTTCATTCTGTTTTAAATTTCTCTGTGCTAGCTTTCTTATCCTTCTGCCAAATTAAATTAAAAGGTAGTAGGAGTAATAATTATGTGGCTGTCACTTCGCAGGTTGTACATACAAACTCTTAACTAGTTTGCAGATTAATTTAAATTAATCTTGCAAACTGAGGAAGGATGCGTGATCGATCGAGGAGGTGATGAGGAAAGCTAGAAGACAAAGGTAGCAGGCAGCAAGAAGGTGGTGATCAAGAAACAAGAACGATGGATGGAATGGATGCATCGACTATGTCCGGCGTGAACACACTCTCTGACAGACATTAACTTTGTCAACTTTGTCGAGCCATGCAGCAGAATCGATCGATCGAGGAGAGGAATGAATAGAATCAATCAATTAATTATTGGCGCCGTGGAGGAGCTAGGAGATCGAAGATCCATGCCATTGCATGCATGACGACGTTGTTGTGGCTAGCACCAGCATCGACGATACAGTACTGTACATGGATCGTATTCCCGAGACCCAGACATCCAGAAACCAGGCTACTATTGCTGCTGCTACTACAACAACACAACTCTGGTAAGATAGACGATGCTACTACAACAACAATTACTGTTGCCATTGCAATATAGTACTGTTCAAACAATAAATACATGTCTATAAACTCATGGCATCTTTGGTCAACTCCCCTCTAGCTAGCTATAGCTAGCATCTTCTGATCTATCAAATCAGATGCATATATATGTATTGAATCAAATCACTGCTTGCTAGGTACACACACGGCAGGCGCAGGCTGGGAATGCACAGGGAAAATTAGCTGCTGCTACTGCTACTACACCTTAGGAAGCCGTATGTGTCTATTACTGCAGTACTGAAGCTGCACACAACACATGCGATGTACTGCCGCTTGCCACGGCATGTTTGATATCCTGGTAAGTACCGAATTTACGCCCTCTGATCCAGCACTTGTGGCACGGATTCTGCAGCGTTATGCTGTTAATTTTTTGCTGCTGCTGCTACTGCTACTGCTGCGTGCTGTCTTTTTTTGTGTTCGTTCGAGCTATGAGATGGTGTTTGGATCAGATAGGATGTTTGGACATTAAGTTAAAGTATTAAATATAGACTACTTATAAAACTAATTATATAAATAAGAGCTAATAATTCACGCGATAAATTTATTAAGCATAATTAATCCATAATTAGCACATGTTTATTGTAGCATTACATGGGCTAATGATGGATTAATTAGGCTCAATATGTTCGTCTCGCGAATTAGTCTAGGGTTATGGAATGTGTTTTGTTAATAGTCTATATTTAATACTTATAATTAGTGTCCAAACATCCGATGTGACGAGGACTAAAAAATTTTTAGTCCCATCCAAACAGTACTGTACTAGACAAAGCATGCACGAGATAATCGAGCTTACTGTTTCAGAGTACACGCTGAGAACTACACACAGTAGAGCGCGCGCACACACCATAATACCATATATCTCCATTGTCCTGAGCTGCAACTAATATATCTGAATCTATGCACATGTTTTAATCTACGCCAGTGTAGTACAATAATGCATCCGCGCATATGTATATACGAGGTGAGTAAAGTTTTATTTAGCCCCACTCTGAATTTTCTTAAATTTTTGTAAATTTATTGTACATGCGTAGTACGTGTCAGATTTTGTCAAATATACAGTGTATATATTCGTGTGCTTTAAATTAATTAATCTAGAGATATACTAGCTTAGCTAGCAGTTTGATTAACTTGCATATATACACATTCATACCGACGTATATGCACGCATATATAAACTCTACTATATACGTTTGTATGCCTGCATATAGTAGCTAGCAATGACATAAAGTGGTGATGTAATAATCTATAACGTAGTATGAACTCTGAACATGCGCATATTGTATACTTGTAAATATGACTTAAAAGTTGTAATTAAACAAGCTATACAAGAGGAGTAGCTCCAAATGATCAATGACCTAGCTATTAACAACCTCAGTTAGTTACCTCTCTCAGCAGCTGGTACACTATAGCTAGCTATACTTGTTTGGCACATTATTATAATTTATAGGTCCACTCACTACTCCCACAGTCCCTAAAAAACTAATCTAGTACTGGATGTGACACATCATAATACTATGAATATGGATATATTCAGATTCGTAGTACTAAAATATGTCACATCTAGTTTTATATTAGTTTTCTATAGGACGGAGGGAGCTAGTACTAGCCAGCACATTGCATTGGCACTAGTAATAGTAGTATTTGATACACATCTAGTAGGAGTATAAGGGTGTGTTTAGTTCATACTAAAATTGGAACGATGTGACGGAAAAGTTGGAAGTTTGTGTGTGTGGGGAAGTTTTGATGTGATAGAAAAGTTGGAAGATTGAAGAAAAATTTTGGAACTAAACTCGGCCTAAGTTAATTATATTAGGCAGTTGCCTATATCACACCATTACTTCTAGGTACTTCGTTAGTTCGTTACTAGGCCAAGCTAGCTATAGCTGCTAGCAGCCAGATGTTGGAGCGAGGTTTGCAATGATGCTCCAATGAGTACGAAATATAGTGTGGCACTGTGACAGGCCAAAAGAAGAAGTGAAGAAAAAAAAAGGAAAGCAGAAACAAATCCACATGCGTGTGCATTTGTATATATAGCTAAGCTAGATTACCATTGCTTTGCATATATGGTATATACGTACGAACATATATTTTCTGTGTATATTGCTAGTACTAATTACTCCCTCTGTGCTCATAAAGGAAGTCGTTTTGGACAGCGACACGATCTCCAAAATACAATTTTAACTTCTTATTTCTATAAAAATATTTATTGAAAAATGATATATGTATACTTTTATGAAAGTATTTTTGAAGATAAATCTATTCATATAATTTTTATATTTTTGAACTCAACAACTTGAGAGTTATTCATGATTTATAATGATTTATATTTTTAAGATTTGACTTATTAAATATTGTCCTAAACGATTTTCTTTACGAGAGAGTATGCAGTACTCTATTACAAAGATACGACGATGCGTGGGTACATGTACATGTGCATCATCTCAGCTCAGCATATATATGCATCATATGCCTGTGGCTGTGGATATGGTGTCCTAGCTAGCTTGTGAATGTGATCTCTCATGCATGCACCCACAGCTCCAGCCAGTTTGTGACGCCTGACGGCTTACAAGACTAGTCACGCCTGCCTGCCTGCATATCCTAGCTTCTGGATTCAGTTAACGTAACGTTACTTGAGTTCAGATCTGTGTTCAGACAACACATCACATGTATAGTACTCCTGTATACATTATCTTCTCTTCTGTGTTTATATAATATTCCCTCTCCGTTTCAAGTTATAAAACGTTTTGACTTTAGTCAAAGTCAAACTGTTTCAAGTTTGACTAATTTTATAGACAAATACACTAATATTTATAATACTAAATTAGTTTCATCAAATCAATAATTGAATATATTTTCATAATAAATTTGTCTTAGGTTGAAAGTGTTACTACTTTTTTCCTATAAATTTGGTTAAATTTTAAGCAGTTTGATTTTGATTAAAGTTAAAACGTCTTATGAGGTAGTAGTAACTAGTAGAGTAGTAATATATACCTTGCCTTAATTTTATTGAGGAATTAGATGTATAACGCATGTCTTTTACAAAATTTCTTGGATCGATCGATGGATCTATCTTGTTGGTGCGTAAATATATGCAAGTGTAGGTTTTGATTTGATTCCGTGCGTGCTGTCAAACATTTCTTGCAGCAGGCCGGACGGCCGGCCGGTCGATTCCTAATTAATCGTCCTAACTCCTATACTGCTGCTACCTGGAGTAGCTAGCAACCCATATGATCGACACACACACACCAAGCGGAAATGTTAACTCATCAGAAACATGTTTGAAAAGTCTTCGTTATGATATATATAGTATCGACTTGTATACTCATTTACCAAAAATGAACTAAAGAGATTCCTTGTTAATTTGAATGTTTTCGCAGACTAGCTTTGTTTGAATTTATATGCATGCCTGCATATGGTTCCAGGTCTGTATTACTACCACTATTCTAAAATATAAGTATTATTTCTTCGTATTTTTCAAAAAAATTTTAAAAAAACACGCAAGAATGCTTATATTTTAGAACGGATGAAGTACCATCTATCTTTTGTAGGGTAAACTACATGTTTTTTTAGAACTATGAACACAAACATACACAAAAACGGTATGAGATGTTGGCTGAAATGTTTTTTTTTTGCCTTTTTAATCATTTCATTGAACGTGTAATTAAAGAAAGGAATGGTCAAATGTGTGTCCTAAATAGATAAGTAAAAGGAAACAATTAGTAACATATATAGTCATGACAGTCCTAAATTAAATGACTGGCAAGCTAGCTGGCTACATGAATATATGTTTAGCCTTGCACTAACTTGGTAGTACTGTCTCATTGATCTCATGCTTAATCAATATGGTCTGCACTCCTAGCTCTAAGTACTGTTGCAAGCAAGCAAGCTTGCATATATATATATATATAATCTCTGTGACGTGTGTAGTACATTAGGGCAAATAGGGGACTATCGTATCTTTGTGGTCTGCACGCAGCAAAAAACGCGGATCGATCGATATTTTTAATTAATTTGCTGGACCATGCATGCCATATGGGGTCCATTTTAACTAATAATAACTCCTTGTCTTGCATACTATCATTCTATAACTGATTAAAGTAATTGAAATATTTATGGTTTTGCAGGTATATTCTCAGGCTACTTGATCTTACGTATGTTTTGTCTGGCAAGTTTTTTCCTTTTAAACTACATCAATACATTAAGTATCGCCTTTATTTGGATCCAATGAATTTAATTAAGTAGGAGTACATGCAGTTGAGTTTTCAGACCCACTTTAATTTGTGAGAAATGATTGCCTGTGTCCGATCCCAAAATTTTATTTATAATATTTATTATGAAGTTTTGCACGCACGTACAACAATGCATATGGTATGCCCTTGTACTGTTTTCTCCTGAATTTTTACGTGTTTCTTGAATTATCAAAATTTAAGCATGCATGTTTTTAGCTTTTTTTAATTAAATAATACAAGTGCTTAACAACATGCTAAGGAGTAGTGTATATATGAAGATCTAGCTCTGACTTTTCCAGCTAATTAATGTTAAGTTTTACTCCTAATAAATGTACTTCTTTCTCTGCCCTGTGCCTCGCTAGCTCAAAGTTTTGGTTTAAAACCTGGTGTCTATGAATATATATACTTCCTCCATTCTAAAATATAAGGCACAACCACCCTTAACCTAAACACTAATAAATAATTTCATAGTTTGGATTACCCTAATAAATAGAATGCATGCACCTAATAAAATTAGAGATATATCTTGATAGTGGTGGATTTAAATAAAAATATTTTAGTGAAAAAGATGTGCTAGTTAATGACATACATACATGCATGCACGCTTATATTATGAAACAACTTTAAAAATAGTTGTGCCTTATATTATGGAATGGAGAAAATACTAGCTTAGGAGTACTATTATATGTATATCTTTAGTTTGTAAGATGCCAAAAAATTATACCTAGTTTGTCTTAAAAAGGTATCTATATATACTAGAAAGGATACCTACTAATTTTAATGCACAAAAATCTATTACTAAGCTAATAGGGGTATATATTTTTTCAGCTAATAGGAAGAAGAATCAAAGTCGTTCAAAATTTGACCTAATTAAGTTGACTAAAAATATTTTTTTCCTTAACCCAAGTTACAGTATTTCCTAGTACTAAGAAGATGTTAATGTTTGTACTAGTATTTTTTGGGGGAGTATGTGAGCTAGGTACAGAGAGAACCTGAGAGAGATTAATTACTGTAATTAATTGGATGTGATAGATGATGCGACAGTAAATAGTGAGTGCGAGTGTCGTGCTATGCATGTGTGTAGGGGCAGGGAGAGGCATCATCACCTCATAATTTCTCAGTTTTTGGCAGTGAGCCGAAATCCTAGACAGATTTCCAGAATCCTACGTGTAATTCTCTTCTTAAATGCAATCTGATGCATGCTAGCTACAGCTATAGCTGCTGCTGCAGCATGCATTTAGTTTTTCTTTTCTGTTCTTTTGCCCTTTCCTCTCTGCTTCTCTAGCTATAGTTCTGTCACTCTCGTGGAGGACGTCGTCCATGGCGTGGCAGGGAAAGACGTGACGTGTTAATTAAATCACTAGTAGCTTCTCTTCATGCGGTTGAAAATTCAAGTGTACTGTATTTTAATTTCATAACAAGATTGTTCAGTATACTCCGTAATGGCCTACTACTCTCTCGCGGACCAAGAAAAGATCAACTGGGACGACAGCTACTTCTTTCATCATAAAATATAATCAACTTTTATTTCTTTTTACAAAATTTATATTTTTAGAATTCACGTAAGAAGTTCATATTTGATGATTCACCTATACTCTAGGAATTAACAATCTGGCTCTGCCCCTGGCCCTCCGTTTTAGGTTATTGGATTTTTTTTAAGTTTGATCAAAATCAAACTGTTTTAAATTTGACCAAGTTTATAGAAAAAATAGTACTCCAGATTCGTTGTACTAGGATATGTCCCATCCAATACAAGGTTGCTAATATTTTTGAATCAAGATAAATTTATTATAAAAATATTTTTAATTATTAATTTAATAAACTTAATTTGGTAATATAAATATTACTATATTTGTATATAAACTTAGTCAAACTTGAAACAATTTGACTTTGCCCAAAGTCAAAACGTCATATAATAAGGATTTTGTTATACAACGGATGGGGTAGTATTTAGGAGTCCATAGTTTTTATTCTTAAGGACCGAATGATATTAATGGTTCTTTTTCAAAAAAAAAAACACACGCCTTGCTTGATTTCTACCCAAACTATATCAAGAGCATGAACAGATGCATGCATGTCTAGGTATGCACGTTAAGTAGTAGTCCTAGCGGTGGAGTGAATTCTGAGAGCACAATCGATCGATCAGAATTGATCAGAAGTATATATAATGTGCTAACTTAATTATAGCTGCAACGGCCATCGATGATCCTGATGGATCTGATCTGATGCAAATTAGGCATAATATATGCAAATTAAAGCACGCCAGGCACGTATATAGTACGTACTACGGGGGCTTGATGGATTAATCAGGAAATCCATCACACCACAGTACGTACATACACACATATTTTTCTCATTCAATATCACTCTTCTCTCTATCTAGATAGTGAGACACATGAGAGAATGAGAGGTCTAGAGAGAGAGAGAGATGATATCATTGTTTTGAGAAGTGTATCTTTATTCGGCCTCTACATCTAACTGGACAATATATGCAACCTTTTTTTTAATTAGGAACTTAGCCTATCAAATAGAGAACTTAGCCCTTAAATAACCCAATCTGAAATTCGCTGCTATGAAGGGCTTGTTTGGTACAGCTCCAACTCTTAAATATAACTCCAGGAGTTGAATCTGGAGTGGAGTTGTGGAGCTGCCTAAACACAACTCCACAACTCTAGTATATTTTGTGAGAGAGCTTCACCCAACTCCACTCTCAGTTTTGGTGGAGCTGAAACTGTTTGGCTGAGCTCTGGCTCCAGGAGGGGTGGAGCTGGAGCTGTGTCAAATAGGCCCAAAGATTTGAACTCAGGATCTTAAGGTGCTAGTCAGGTCACTGCAATCCTCTCACATGCATGTAGTATAGAGACGATGGAGTTGTGGACTTGTGAATTGGCGGTTTGCTATAAAGTAAACCCTTGGGCTACAGTCGTTGCAGCTGCAGCTCAGCTCAGGAGCAGCATACCATTATATGGGGTTGTTTGGATCGGTGACTCAACTTGCCACAACTCAACTTAGCCATGCCATAACTAGTTAGCCTAGTGTTTGTTAGACTAACGCACCTTAGGCTGCCAAAGAAAATGTGGCAGCTCTCAAGTACATTGCAGTAGCATTTTGCGCCGGACTTGTGGCGCTGAATTCGTTCGCCTCACTTGCGGCTCACTTGTGGTGTGAAAGGTGAGACTTGTAAAAGCTGGTGTTATGCTCACCTGCCCAAAGAAAATGGCGCGAAGCAGTGGCGCGAAATGAGAAAAAAAAGGCGGGAGTCTCCTGGGAAAAAGCATCTGACACCAACAGTGCTCTCTCTCTCTCTCTCTTATCATCTCTACTCCCACATGCTCTCTCTTCTCTCTCCCCAGATTTTTCTCTCGAAGCAACTCAAGCATCAGGAGCATCAGGCAAGTATTCCCTTCTCTTTCCTCTTTTATCCTCTTCCATCTATCTCATGCATATACCATTTAGGTCCTCAACTTTTTTTCTCGAAATCCCTAACGCTAATTTGTTCCATTGAGAAGTGTTGCCGTCTGAAAGTTTTTTTTCTTAAAATCGCCCCCCTCCTCTTCATTCCATTTTGATTTGATATGTATCTTCCTTTCCTTTAATCCCATATTCTATTTAATTTGCTCCTTTCATCAGGCTTGAGTCATGGTCTAGGCTGCAATTGCAAGTTCATATTGGTGAGGAGTCGCTGGTGTGACTAGAGTAGGAATTGGGACCATCACGGTAAGCACACTGCATACCTGCTTATTCTGTTCTTCTTTAAAGGGATTGGGGATTGTTCATTTTTTCCTGTCCTGGACCTAAGGTTTGCTCTGTGACTCCATTATTGCAAAATCCTTTTAGCTTTGTTGGCTAGATGTGGATTCCCAAAACTATGAAACCGATAAATTTATTACAAATGGTAATGTGAAAAAAATGTTGATTGTTCTATGTAATTATTGTATGGTAGTTTTGTTGTTTTATTCTGAATATTTATTAATGTAGGATCTCTTAATTATTTAGATGGACCGAAGGAAACAAATATATTTACAGTACTACTTCAGCTACTACTACCAATATTACATATGGAGGAGAAGGTTGCTTGTTGCTATTGCCATATGTGTAGCTAGTTACTCATATTTGCTTGACATGAGAAAAAGGCAGCGAGAAGGTGTAAGATATTCTCCCATGCTTCTTAGAGATGTGGAGCGAGATGCACGGCTAAATCGTTTGTTTAATGGTACCGAGGCCAACTGTGTTTCTGAGCTACGGATGCGAAAAGCCATTTTTCATAAGCTTTGTGGTCATTTCAGATCGCGTGGTCTTTTAGTAGACACCTTGCATGTAACAGTGGAAGAACAGATTGCAATGTTCATGCATATAGTGGGACATAAATGGTGTAATAGGTCAGTTGGTTTTGAGTTTTTTCGATCGGGTGAGACAGTCAGTAGGTACTTCAACGCTGTTCTGGATTCACTTGTTTCAATTTCTAAGGAACTAATATACATCAGAAGCACTGAAACACATCCAAAGATCACAAGTAGCCCAGGAAGATTCCACCCGTATTTTGAGGTACACAACACAAGTTTCTTTTGTAGAAACCTAACCATATAATCCATCTGCTTGATAGACTAATTGGGCATTCATTATTTTCCTTTTATTAGGGGTGCATAGGAGCTTTGGATGGTACTCATGTACCAGCATCTGTCCCTGCACATATGCAGGACAGATTTAGGGGTAGAAAGAAATCTCCCACTCAAAATGTCCTTGCGGCTGTTGATTTTGACTTGCGATTTATTTATGTCCTTGCTGGATGGGAGGGATCAGCCCATGATTCACATGTGCTTCAAGATGCTCTAAGCCGCCCTAGTGGTCTAAAAATACCAGAAGGTAGGACTTTAATTAGATCATGTACATCAACCATGAATTCAGCTTGCCACCACTGACTATAAGACATGTTCGTGTTATAGGAAAATTCTTCCTAGCCGATGCTGGATATGCAGCAAGACCTGGTATACTACCCCCATACCGTGGTGTTCGTTATCACCTTAAAGAATATAAAGGTGGTAGAGAACCTCAAGATTACAAAGAACTATATAACCATCGTCATTCGTCATGTAGAACAACAGTTGAACGGGCATTTGGAACCCTGAAAAATCGATTTAATATCCTCAAGAGTCAGCCAAATTTCCCTTTGAAAACACAAGTGAAGACAGTGATTGCTTGTTGTACGCTTCACAATTGGATACTGGATAATGGTGATGATGAATATGTATATGACCATGAAACCTGGTATAGAGTCTTGCCAAGGAGCAATAGGGTATATCAAGATATCCGTGAGGAGAATGAGGCTTGGGTGCTTAAACGAGATCAGATGGCACAAGCTATGTGGCAAGATAAAGCTGGGCAATCTACTTCTGCAGCTAATTAAGATATATAAAATGATGCTAGCTAGCATGTAGTTGTGGGTCTATATTTATCTTTTCTGAAGTATTGCTTAAATTCCTAGTATGTGTTCTCCTAGATTCTTGCCTTGCAGCAAAGTTCTTTGTGCCACATCAGATTTATGTATGAAACATCTTTTATTATTGTGAGATGCATGCTATTTTATCTTGCTGATATGTTACTTTATTATACTTTATCAACTTGTCATAGCTGGAATAAATGGGGAAAGCCAAGGGAAAGGGGAAGGTTGAGACTGAAGGGTCTTCTCGTGAGAGATCCATTAGTTGGGATGATGAACAAACTAAGTTCATGCTTGATTGGTACATCGAGTACAAGAAAGACCAACATGCAAACTTCATATGGAAATCTCAGCACCATATGAAATGTGCTGATGCCTTAAATAAAGAGTTTGCTATGGGTGTAACGTCTGCCCAAGTGACCCGTCACTATAGGCACTACAAAGAGAACTGGAAGATAGTTGAAACGGCTTTAAACAAGAGTGGCAATGGTTTTGATGCTATTAAATGTAAACTGACCATATCAGAGTCTGAAAAGGCTACTCTCAAAGTAAGTGGCTGCTATAAACATTTAATTTTTTTTTGCCATTAGTTCTATGAGGTCAACTGTTTTGAGGATTTTATCAATATATACTTTTCGTAATGTGTAAATGGATAGTTTTGATTGCTCATGAATATGTGCCAATTTCTTGTAAAAAATGTATTGCCATGCTTTTGTACAGATTTAAGTTAGCAAGTATATTATAACACAATACTTCTGCTCACATTTAAATTTAGCTTTCTTGAGAATTATTAGATTCTTCCATGGTTTGCCTTTTTACTAATTATTCTATCAACATGCAGGATAGGGATAGGCGTTTGCTTTCTAAGCCAATAAAATACTTTCATGAGATGCAAGAGCTTTTCTCAGGTAGTAACGCAGATGGCTCTCTTGCCATGGACCAACAAACATGTTGTGACGTTGATAACAAATCTGATAGCAGTGACGATGAAGGATTGAATGATATTTCCAGCTATGCACGTCCTATCGACATTGCTGCAGAAGACTCGGACACATTACCATCTCCCACATGTGCAGATAATGGCTCTTCTGGTACATCTCGAGCTGGTAAAAAGAGACCAAGAGGTTCAAAGTCCCCAAGTAAGAAGCAGCAACCAAAGCCTAAGAACCGTTTCACAGATGCCACTGAGAAAATTAGCAACACAATGGACCATTTGGTGGATCAGCTTGGTAATCCTCCTCCTCCACCTCCAGTGCCACAGTTTTGTGACCCTTATGCTTCATTGTGGAAGAGGATTGATGCATTGCCCATTAGTACTAATGATAAGGTTGTCGTTGGAAATTATTTGGGACGCCAAGAGAATGAGGGGGTGCGGGGATTTCTTGCTTCTTCTGCTGACACGACTGTGGAGACTTGGGTGTACCAGTTCATGTGCGATCGAGATGGTGCGTAGGAAAAATGAATCTAACTGTCAACATTTGGATATGTTGTTGACCTTTTGCTCAGTTAGAATAGCTGTACTAATCAGCTATATTAAAACCTTGTGAAATATGTTTATGTCCAAGCAAATAGTTACTTTTGGGAAAACACTATACTAGATGTGGGAGCACTAATTAGGTTATCTTGGATCATGTCAATATGTCAGGTTCAAGCTGGTAGCTTCTTTTGGTTTCTAGAACTGTCATTATATAGTGATGATGCAAAAGTACGAACTTTCTGCTTCAGTGTGCTATGTAAATTTCTCTAGTGATTGAGTATTGTTGCCCATCTGTGATATATTTCGAAGCTAAAGTTAATTATGTGGTTTGTATATTTATGTGAAAGTTGAGTGTTGCCCTCCAATGATATTTTCATATACGCTTCTGCATGCACTTCTGTAGTGGCTATTGTCTGGTAGTATTTTGATTTATCTCACTTAAATGTTGTTGTCTAATTTGCCAATTATATATTATTTAAATATGATTATGTTTCATTCGACAACCTATATAATATGTTTTCTAATTAATCACTGAATAAAACATGCAGCAACATGTTTATTCTCGTATATCCCGGGGTGGTAATCTCACCACCTAATTGATTGGAAGTAACCATATTCAAGTTAGGCATCAACCAAACAATAGCCACATACTTTTGCCAAACTTGTGGCTTACCATATGGCAGGAATCCAAACAATACCCTTAACAAATTTGCCACACTTTTGTCAATCAACCAAACAGCTCTAACTTACCACAAAGTTAGTCATGCCACAACATTGTCATATGCCTAACCTTAGTTGTGGCAACCTAAGTCACTCAACCAAACAACCCCTATATCACTCACTCACCTCTCGCTGCCTCAGCTCGCAACCAACAAACTCCTCCTCTTCTTCTTCTTCTCCTAGTACCCTTTCTGTCTCCTCACCGGCAATCCTCCCGTCCGGCCACCGACGACACAAGAAAACCTAGCTACCTAGGTAGGACAGGAGGAGGGATATATGGCGCCGGCGGTGCAGCAGCAGCAGAGCGGCGGCGGCGGCGGATCGACGGGGGCGGCGGCGGTGGGGTCGACGACGCGGTGGTGCCCGACGCCGGAGCAGCTGATGATGCTGGAGGAGATGTACAGGGGAGGGCTCCGGACGCCGAACGCGGCGCAGATACAGCAGATCACGGCGCACCTCTCGACGTACGGCCGCATCGAGGGCAAGAACGTCTTCTACTGGTTCCAGAACCACAAGGCCCGCGACCGCCAGAAGCTCCGCCGCCGCCTCTGCATCTCCCACCACCTCCTCTCCTGCGCCCACTACTACCACCACCACCTCGCCGCCGCCGCCGCCGTCGTTCCGCCGCCGCAGCTTCTGCCGCCGCTGCACCCCTCCTCCTCCTCCTCCTCCTGCGGCGGTGGCCTCATCGACCACGCTAATTCCCTTCTCTCCCCCACGTCGGCGACCACCCCCACCTCCGCCGCCGCAGCAGCAGCAGCAGCAGCTTACACCACCAGCTACTACTACCCCTTCACCGCCGCCGCCGCACCGCCACCGCCCAGGACGTCGCCGGCGGCGAGCCCCCTCTTCCACTACAACCAGGTACGTAATGGTGTAACCTAACCTAGCTAGCTAGCTAGCTACTAGTTAATCATTGCTTAATCGATCATGTCGCGTGGCAGGGAGGCGGCGGCGTGGTGTTGCCGGCGGCGGAGGCGATCGGGCGTTCGTCGTCGTCGTCGGACTACTCGCTGGGGAAGCTAGTGGACAACTTCGGGGTGGCGCTGGAGGAGACGTTCCCGGCGCAGCCGCAGCAGCCGGCGACGACGATGGCGATGACGGCCGTCGTCGACACTACGGCGGTGGCGGCGGCGGCAGGTGGCTTCTGCCGGCCGCTCAAGACGCTGGACCTCTTCCCCGGCGGCCTCAAGGAAGAGCAGCATGACGTCGTCTAGCCCTAATTAGCTACTACTACTACTGCTCTTAATTACTTTATTAATTAACATGCATGATGGATGGATGGGTCGATCCATTATTATATATTAATTAACCATTTCTCTGTCTCCACAAATTTCTGCTTAATTCAGAATTCAGAGTTACTCCTAGCTAGCTATAACTTCTTTTTTTTCCCTTTTTTTGAGAAAGACTTCTTGTTTGCTAGTGTTAATGCATGCTTAATTTCTTTCTCTCTCGATCTCTAAATTTACTTTTTTTTTCTCTATAGTTAATTATAGCTAGCGTTAGATTGTACGTGTACTAGGTGATACGAACGTGAGCACGTACGTCAAGCTAGCATGCAGAGGATCAAATCGAGGTCGGTTGTGCACTTGCATTGACTAATTAAGTAGTACTCCATCCGGCCGTTTAATTTGCTTCCTACAAGGTACTACTATTATATTATAAAGTTATAAATATCAAAGTGTGTAAATTAAATTTGACCACTACAGATACTTATAAACCGTTTTGTTAATATGCTATATGGAGTAGTATATACCAACAAAAGTAGTACTCTAATATTATATGAAAATACATGGAAGTAGTATTATTTCATCGGTTTAATTAGGTTTTACATGCTAAGTATACTTTTGAGTAATTTTTACTGGTTAAAATTTACAAACTTTGACCTTTTAACTTTGTATAACATGCCTTAAAATAAACATGGAGAGTACTAATATACAGTACTACATCTGTATGGAATGTGAACATGCTTTCTATATATTAATATATAAACTGAAGATTTTTTTATTTAAAAAAACAAACAGGTTTCAGCAGCTGGCTGGTGGCAGGCCGGCTGGGTAGCTAGATTAACTAGCTACAGTAGATAAAAGATAATATTATACTCCCTCCGTCCTAAAATAAGTACAGTTTTGCACTATTCACGTTTAATGTTTGACTGTTCGTCTTATTTGAAAATTTTTTATGATTAGTATTTTTATTGCTATTAGATGATAAAACATGAATAGTACTCTATGTGTGACTAAATATCTTTAAATTTGGTCAAACGTTGTGCACGGATATTCACGGCTGCACTTATTTTGGGACGGAGGTAGTATGTATGTTGCAGCTTCAGCTAGCTACTGTGTGAAGCAAAGAGATACTACTCCTATAGCTAGGCTTTTGATTTGCAGTGCTATTAAGTGTACTTTGTTTGAGATCAAGCGTATGGATGGAATGTTCTTAGCACGATATAGCAGCTGGATGGTCCTGCACCAACCTACTGTAACCAACAAAACACACACACACACAACACAGTACACACACTCTCTAGTCTGAATATTTCTCACTACTCCTATGTACTTGTCATATGGTGTCTGATGAGGTGATAATGTGCCTTAACTCTAGCCGTCCAGCTACCCTATTAATTTTAGGTTTGAATTTGTAATTTCACCACTGGTACACCCCTTATTTCTGCATGTTACAAATATATTGTGCCTGCTCAGAACTGCTTGCCACGGCCAGGGCTTCGATCTCTACTGTGACATCTAGTAGAGCTCTTTAATTTGTTGTAGGCAGCAGGTTTGAGTAGGCCCATTGTGTCTCTGTATTGGCATGATCTATAGAATACAACTCTGTATAGTCGCTGATTTATTAGTATACAAATTTTTTGATTTTTAAAAATATTATTGTTATTTTTTGTTGGTACTCAATCAAAAATATTTAAACATATTTGACACTTAAAATTTAAAAGTTTAACTAGGCATACTATTTATCTGGTATTAATTGTTGAGCACCGAGATACATATATTATATATATATATATATATATGAAAATGGTTCTATACACCTGGGAGTATGTACACCTGTTCTCATCCACCGTTGATCTATGATTAGCTTCGATGGAACCTGATATCGGATTAACGAGCGGACCCGTTTAACTTTTTGACGAGAAAAAAATTACGTACTCCTTAATTAGCCACGGAAACCGGAATGACCTGAGTACAATTCCTCGTTCCCACCAGTGCATCGGATCCGAAAATCAGGTCACTAGGAGAGACCGCGATATACCAGAACTCGGAGAAGGCGGCGCCGATTCATCGTCGATCCATGGCTGCGTTGCAGGTGACGGCGTGATCCCGGCGCGGCGGCCTGCACTCCCTAGCCGATCAGTTTATTATTTTATATATATATATATATATATATATATATATATATATATATATATATATATATATATATATATATATATATATATATATATTTGGAAACCACAATTCCCACTCAAACTAGCTTGCAAAATATTATGCGTGCTAGTCCCTCCATTTCACAATGTAAGACTTTCTAGCATTGTCTATATACATATAGATGTTAATGAATCTAAACACATATATATGTCTAGATTCATTAATATCTAAATGAATATGAGAAATACTAGAAAGTCTTACATTGTGAAACAGAGGAAGTAATAAATTAAGTCCACTGAAACATGAATATTTACACGAGTACGTTATTACATGTCAATTTAGAAAAAAAAATAGTAACATAACGTAAAGAGTACTAAACATACATAATCTATACTCCTTTTAAAAGGAATTACAGTTATATCACCATGCATCCTCAACGCTAACTCAGTGTTTGGGTGTTACTTTTATAATAATTGGTTGTAGCTCTGATGAGCAAAGGCCGGGATGTTTTATTCCATTATCTAAAAAAACGCTAACTCCTTACTTTTTCTTGATTGAAAAATGGTTGGTGGGACTAGAGGGTCCAAATGTCAACCGCCGACACCAACTCTTACTTTAACTTCTGTGTGAAGTAAAATTGATAGTTGACACTGGTGGAGAAATCATCTTTGATCGGTCCAGCAAAATCCACAATAGTCCCGGATCCAAAAAGAACTGGGACTAAAGATTGTTTTTAGTCCCGGTTATAAAAATTTTGATCTTTAGTCCCGGTTGGTGTTACCAACCGGGACTAAAGATCTTTAGTCCCGGTTCATCCCTTGTCAGATGTATGTCAGGGGGCCGAGGATCTTTAGTCCTGGTTGGTGTTAATAACCGGGACTAAAGATCACCACTTTAGTCCCGGTTGGTATTATCAAGATGATCTTTAGTCCCGGTTGGTAATACGAACCGGGACTAAAATTAAACACGTAGTATATAATCCCTATCCCTTATCCTCTCATCCACAGTTACAGATCGAATCTCACCCCTCTCCTCAGATCTATCCTTTCTAACTCTCTTCCTCATCCCCTCTTCTCCAACTCCTCCCCTTCCTCCTCTCCTCCCCCTTCTCCCCTTCCTCCTCCCCTTCCCATCCGGCGGGCTGGCCGACGGCGGCGGCTGGCGGGGCCGCGCCTGGCGGTCGTGGCGACCGGCGGCGGCGGCGGCATTTTTTTTAAATTTGTGATGATTCACTGAGATGTATTTGACTGAGAAGTTACAAATTTGTGATTCATTGTTTGGTTCTGTGATGTATTTGAGTAATTTTGTGTTTGGATCTGTGATGTATTTGAGTAATTTCTTAGGATATTGTGATGTATTTGATTTGTGTGTATAAGTAACTATGATTTGTGATGTGGATTTGGTGATGTGAATTTGGGATGCTAGTTTGATTTGGGGATTTGCCTACTTGATTCGGGAGAAAATAAAAATAAAAAAAAAAGAAAAAGGGACCAGCTGTACTGCCCGCTATTGTCTTTTTAATCCCGATTGGTAACACCATCCGGGACTAAAGATCCCCTTTCTTTAGTCCCGGTTGGTGGTACCAACCCAACCGGTCCCCGATCTTTACTCCCGGTTGAAAAACTAGGATTAAAGGAGGTTCCCAACCGGGAGTAAAGATGGTTTCTCCACCAGTGTGAGGTTAAAGTAAGAGTTGGTCTCTATAACACTATATATACAATTTTACTAGCATATGGTCCACATGATAATTTTTAAATTGAAATCACGTTGCAAAACGCACAGGACAATATGCTAGTGTATATAGAGTTATAGAGACCGGCCGTATGTGTGGTAGTTGTATAATTAATCGTGGAAGAGAATTATTTAAGATAAAAGGTTGTCAAGAAATTTTAAAATAACTTACATTTAGGAAAATAGTGATGGAAAGGGGTAAAACGACTTCCATTCTATTTGAAATCGATAAGAAAGGGGTGCAATTAAGCGTCAAATAAATTGATTAGATAGATGGAGACTTAGGGACGTACTTCGCTATGTACATGTATAGTACTCCAATTAATTAACAAATCCTCCTGTTCCTCAGTAACTGCTAATAACTGATGCATGCATATCTAAGCTAGCTCGATCACAGTTAGCAAACGAAATTAATTGAATATCACTACAAGTTGGCAGCCACAAAACAAATGTTATAAATGACGAGCAGAAAGTACACCTGCACGCTACACGTTGTATACTGATCTCTCTAGCTATATGTACGTACTGCCATGCATTAAGGCATCTAATAAGCTCTCTTTAAATTAATTGAGCTAAGCAGGAGTAGTAGCTCGAGATAAGCTAGCTGCATGCATGCATGTGATAATGACCATATCTTGCATGATCGATCATCTCTGCTCGAACATACCCCCTCTGTTTCAAAATGTTTTACACCGTTGACTTTTTAAATACGTATTTGATCATTTGTCTTATTTAAAAATTTTAATTAATTATTTATTCTTTTTATATCATTTGATTCATTGTTAAATATATTTTTATGTACACATATAGTTTTACATATTTCACAAATTTTTTTAATACGACGAACAGTTAAACATATGCTAAAAAGTTAACGGTATCAAATATTTTAAAACGGAGGGAGTAATATTCTGGCTACATGAGATTCGATCTAGTCGTTGATTAATTAATCAACTGACTATATATAGCTTGCACGTACACTATACACACAAGCAGTGTACATATATATAAATACAGTACGTACAATGTCGGTAAACCTCGGCGTATCTCAGTAATTAATTATGGAGTACGTACGATCTCAGTCGCTAGCTAGTACTAGCAGTTATATACGAATGACACATGAATGGATACGCAGAGAGTACGTCAGGCCAACAATAACAATTTTCCAACGTACCTGACGCAAAGATTAATAACTAATTATGTGTGTATATATGTCCTATGTATTGCAAGCGCGTCTGCAATATAATTAATGTCTTTAGGAGAGTATATGCAATCCATATAGCTATCCGGCCAATAGAAATACAGATAAACAGTACCGGTACAGTAAATTAGTTGCAGTGCAAAATGGCCCTGTACTGTAGCGCACATATATATTGCATTACTGTTGCTACTGTGCTTATCTGCGTATAGGATCCGCGTATACCATACCTCCGTCACTAAATATTTGACGTTGTTAATTTTTTAAAACATGTTTGACCATTCGTCTTATTTAAAAAATTTAAGTAATTATTAATTATTTTCCTATCATTTGATTCATTGTTAAATATATTTTTATGTATATATATAGTTTTACATATTTCATAAAAGTTTTTCAATAAGATGAGCAGTCAAATATGTTTAAAAAAGTTAACAGCGTCAAATATTTAGAGACGAAGGGAGTATTTCAGTGGGACAAATCCAACTAACACGCGCGTATGAAGTACTCATGTACGACGATGCATATACTAGTATTTCTATACTCCCTCAGCTGCTGCTCAGGTTGTACCGAACAATTTAATTTTGTACTACAGAATAAAAATATTATTTTTTTCACGAACGCGCAAAAGGATTGCACGTCAATATATTAGACGAAAAGAGTTTTCTTCATCCGATAAAGTGATTTGTAAGATTGTTCACAAAATGAACATATCTCTTATATAGTTTTATAAACTATGTAAATTTTGTGAAAATATTACTATCACTTTGTCGTATGAAGAAATGACCAAAATAAAAGTTATAGATCTCGATGAGTTATACAACTTTTTTGTTGATGACTTTTTCAGCTGAAATCAATTACTGCTTCAGAATATTATTTGAAGTTTTGAAATTCAAATTTTTAATTGATAAAACAAAGTCACATGAAAAAATGGCCAAAATAATAGCAGTAAGAACACAACAATATGATAGAGCATGATTTTAGAAACATTTAGAAAAAAGAATCATCTAATAAGGAGACGATCCTCGACCCCCGGCGAGAGCTGTACGTGAAGCATCGCATCCCAAATAAGGAGAAACTGGGAGATGACCGGGACAGTGAGGGCACCGCGGATGGCAGAGACCCATGAGTTGTTCGTCAGGCCATAAGCAAATAAAAAAATATTATATCATTTGAGAAAAATGAAATAATATACTTAAGACTTTTGGACATTTGAAAAAAAAAGAAATATTTTTAAGATTTTTGGATAGAGTGAATCTATAAAAACAAATAAATGTTTAATTTCATTAAAATATAGATATAAGGTTATTTTGGCATGAGCTGAGACTAGATAATTAATTTGTCTTATGTTGTCTAGAAGGAATTAATTATTGTTAGCCAGTGATCTATAGTACTGTACATATATATGCGTACTGTGTTTTAAATTTCTACTACTACTAATATACTACTAGTCCTAGTACTGTCTACAATTTGGATAACACAATTAATAATGCAGCACGTATTTAGACATAGTTAATGGTAAGTAGACGCACGTTTATTGTCCAGTGTTCTTGCGTGGTGTGCTGACGTGGAGAGCTCAGTCATGGGCCTGGGCCCCACCTGGCCGACAATATGAACTGTGTATGGACGTTTCATCCACAGGAATAATTTACTTAGGTCCCTCATAAAATTTGAAAATATACTATTTATTTTTTTGCTCTTAGAAATATTCAGGTACAAATTATTCGCACAAATATATCGTTGATATTGTAGTCTCGAGACTGTGAGACTGAGCGGTCTTGCATACCCATCCAGCGAGACCGAGCAGCGGTCTCGCATCCTCAACCAGTGAGACCGACAGCCTTAATTACTGTTAATCATGATAATTAATCACTAATTATTATTAATTAATCGGTAGTCATTCAATTTCCAAAACGCTCTCGCACGCTCACCATGCGAGACCGCTCGGTCTCGCATCATCTGTGGGTGACACCGCTCGGTATCGCAACGTCATCATGCGAGATCGCTTGTGTCATCTCAAATTTAATTTGGTCCCTTATCACCCTCCATGCCTCCATGGTAAGATGGGATCAGAGAGAAAGGAGAGAGATATATATAGGTGGAGGGAGATAAGGGTCGCTGACATGTGGAACTCGCGTGGGTCTCATGTTGGCTCAGCTTGTCATGTCAGCTAAACCACATAATATTGTCTACAATTTCTGGTGATTCAGTTTTATAAATTGAGGGACCCTTCGTATAATTTCTGGTCAAAGACGAATTTCAGACTCGGCGATAAATTGAGGGACTAATGTGAACTTATTCCTCATCCACAAGCGAGGCCCAAAACTACGGCCCGCTTATTTTCGGCCCAATTCAGCCCAACCTTCCCACCCCGACGATTTGTTTGCTTGTTTGGCTGAATTAACTAATCGATTTTGCTATACCAAACCAAGTGGAAGGAAATCCGGGAATCCCCTTCGCTCGCCTCGCTTCCGCGGCAATCCCGTTCGTGCAAGGGCGCTCGATCTCCTCCTCCTCCGCCGGATCTCCCACTAGGGTAAAGCTCTCTCCTCGATTTACTCTCCTATGCTTGATTCAGCCCGGTCCGAGGTCTTCCTCGCGATCGATTGCGTAGTGGTTTGCAGTAGTTGCTCGACTGTTTTCGAGTCACGCGGCCGTGTGGGGATTCCCCGGTTTTGTGGGTCGAATGGATGTGATGCGACCTGTGTTTCTGTGTGGATTTGTATTGGAAGAACAGATTGAGGAGGCTGATTCGTGTGGGCTGGTGTTTTTTTTTTGGGTGCCTCCCTTCGATATAGCCCAGGTTCTTTGCAGTTGAGCTGATTTAGGCATTGTTAGTGCTAATGTGGTATGCTTGGTGTGAATTTAGGCCCTAGGGAGATCAGCAGTTGTGCTCGATTATTATTCCCTAGCTTTTCTTTGTTTCAGTATGTGCTTCTGTGTGGGTTGCTGTATTTTCAGATTACCGAGTTATTATGATCATGAACTTTGGAAATCAAATTATGCTTGCTTGACCAGTCAAGTAATGCTTGGAGATAAAAGCAAGGGTCTTTTCATGCTTCAGTCTACCTACATGCCTTCATATATAGTGCTTTAAGTTTCAGTTTCAGTTCCAGTCTTTTAGTTAGTTAATGGGTGGTTGCGTGTTTCTGTTCAGTTTCAGTTCATTCAGTAGTATGGAAGAGTCTTCAGTCGTATAAGAGCGTGCTCAAACCAACTAGTAAAGTGTCGCATTGGAGCTTTGGTGTGTAAGCAATTAGTAGTATTTTGTCAGACTATATGCAATGAAAGGGGGGATTATCTGCTGTAGACCTGTAGTTTCTCAATCCGTATAGAAGTATAGGGGTATGCTCTTCTATTTCTCTGTTTATCTTGTTGCATGTCTGAAGTGTATATTGCAAACTATGAAAAATATCAACGTTTAAGCATGTTTATGTGACAGATGTTATGCATGTATAATTCAGTGGAGCCTCTCACTATTTTTTTCCGATGACGGAGCCTCTGTGTCTGAGTTATGCTTGCTTTGGCGTAGTAGACTTCTAAGTGTTCACGCTTGCTTCTTTCTTTACATCATGACTTTAGTCAACTGCAATGTGTGCTTTCCCTCCAAAAAGGAAATGTAGTTGGGATCAGGTGACCTTTTGCATGGTTTTTGTTTATTCTATCTGGATTTCCATGCCTGTGGATCAGTAAGCCAGTAATTATAGTGCTAAGTTCTTCTGTTTATATATGTCATTTCTTGTATACGGCTATAGTCAAGAGTCAAGACTTGTTATTGGCTTTGCAACTCAACGGGATAATCAGAGAAAGCAGTCGTGTAGCCTTGTCAATGCTTGAGCTGTATTGTTGTTTCTATGTGGCTATGAGCTTTTCAGGTTTTCATGTGTAATTCTGAGATCCTTGCTGCTGTTCAACTATTAAATTGCTAGTTGTTGCAAATCGTCAATTACAAGCAAAATAAGAAAGGGTTGGTTGTTTACACTTGTCATGCTAATTTATTCTTGGACTAATATAATTCAGTTCTCCCCATGTGATTCCCCAAAACAAACATCCCTGCATGTGCAATATATTTTACTTATCAATTTACTATTGGCATGTGCATACAACCTTCAAGTGCAGCTACAGGTTGGATAGACCCACCAGCTAGCTGGTTCATGGTTTCTGAGCATATGTTCACAATGTTCTCTTTATTTTTCTGCAGATTAGCTCCAATGGGTTTCCTGCAAAACACTTTCTCAGTGTGTGTCGGCATCGGGTGTGGTATCTACATTGCGCAGAACTATGACGTCCCAAACATGAAGAAACTTATGAGGGATTGGATGGGGAAAGCAAAGGAAGTTGAAGAGTCTTACAAGAAGCCTGGCGGTAGCAAAAACTGAAGGACTCCATCATGTTCAGTACAGCCGTCTAATCGTTTTTAGTTTGGGTTTACGCTAAGTAATGGAAAATCTTTCTACTCTATTATCCTTGCTCGTTCAAGATCACCAGTCGTGTACAGCAGGTTCGTTGAACATATACTTGGGTAAGGATTATTCAAGCAGTTGGACATGATCTACAAGTATGGATGTGCATGTTTAAAAATCTTACTACTAGTACAAGTGCCATGATTCAGGACTGTTTAAGGAGTCATTTTCTTTTCCTCGGCTTCATTAATCATTATCATTAATTTATGCTTATACCAAGATTTTGACGGATGCATTTTTTAGCTTTGTTTGACTTCTGGCCCTTTTTATCATAGTATTACTATTTGCGTGTGCAATTTCCAGTTCCCATCTGAGGCTGGACCTCTGAAACCGGCCGCAGTCACTGTCAGTGTCACTGGCTTTGGTTTGTTTTGTTGGATGTCCAAAGCTGAGAATAATTGAAAAAATATTGGTTGTGCAGGCTCCAATGGTAATGACCAATTACAAGCTTTTTTTTCCCCTTGATAAGTAGTGTGTGATGAGAGATTTCATAGGACAAGTTTCTTCTCATCAATGGGTGAGCAATTGTCAACAAATAAAGGGCAGAAAAAGGAGGAGAGAAGGTGGAGTATGGAATCCATGGATTTGTTGTTTCTCTCACAATCTGTGTCTGAAATCCTGCAGCTCCTATCTCTCTTTCATCTTTCTTCTTTCTGCCTTTTTATCTTCAGCATAAGAGACCCATCAACCTTTGCATCGTGCGATCCATTACTGCATTACACATCAGTCAGCACCGAGCAAAGCAAAGGATTCCAGCATCTGCTGAATTTTTCTCTCGTGCAAATACTTTGTAGAATAAGTTTATTTTTGTTTCTCTTGGTTAACTTAAAATAAGTTATAAAAGTAATTATTGTATCTGAGTTTATGAAAAATCAAAGATAAATGTGTTTTTAAAATGAGAATAATTACATTGGAATTTGATAAAGGAGGGTATTATAGTTTTTTGGGTTCTATATCAATATGTGTGAGACTTGTGAAAAATGAATTTATTTTGAGGAATTGAGGTTGAAGGGTAGTACAAGATCATTTTCATTTTTTTTTCTCACATAGGGACGAGGAAATTCAGGACATGAGCAGACAGCATCCTTCAACTCTTCATCAACTGACGATATTAATTTTTTTTAATAAAAGATGGAAAAGAGAGGCGGGCACTGTAGTTCTTCATCAACTGACAAGATTAAAAAAAACACAAATACTGTAGTGCCACTGCAGCGTGGGCCCCACCATCCAGCGTGCCTTCCCCACGTAGCACCCAAACGCCACGCCGACGCCGCCAAGGAAGCAGAGAGAAACACCGCGAAAGCCGAAGAAGAAGGCGTAGTCGCCTCCCTCGCTCGCCGCCTCCCCCGCTTCCGCTCGCTCACCACCACCAACTCCTCCTCGTCTTCATCAACGCGCTCGGTCGCCTCGCCTCGCTCTGGAACGCATGATGGCGAGCATGGCGGCGCTGCTGCAGCGTCTGCTGGTGGTGGTGAATCAGGTGGACCCGGGCGCGCCGGGGTTCTGGCGGGAGTTCTTGGTGGGCATGCTGAAGCCGGTGGCGGCGACGGCGGTGGTGGCGATGGCGGTGGCGCTGAGCTTCACGCAGCGGCTGGGGCTCGAGGGCGAGATGCTGTACGCCATGGCGCGGGCGTTCCTCCAGCTCTCCGTCATCGGCTTCGTCCTCCAGTTCATCTTCACCCAGAAGAGCGCCGCCTGGATCCTCCTCGCCTACCTCTTCATGGTCACCGTCGCCGGCTACACCGCGGGGCAGCGCGCCCGCCACGTCCCGCGGGGGAAGCACATCGCCGCCGTCTCCATCCTCGCCGGCACCTCCGTCACCATGGCCCTCCTCGTGGCGCTCCGGGTGTTCCCGTTCACGCCGCGGTACATCATCCCGGTGGCCGGGATGATGGTCGGGAACGCGATGACGGTGACCGGGGTGACGATGAAGAAGCTGAGGGAGGACGTGGGGATGCAGCGAGGGGTGGTGGAGACGGCGCTGGCGCTGGGCGCGACGCCGCGGCAGGCGACGGCGCGGCAGGTGAGGAGGTCGCTGGTGATCGCGCTGTCGCCGGTGATCGACAACGCCAAGACGGTGGGGCTGATCGCGCTGCCGGGCGCCATGACCGGCCTCATCATGGGCGGCGCGTCGCCGCTGGAGGCCATCCAGCTGCAGATCGTGGTGATGAACATGCTCATGGGCGCTTCCACCGTCAGCAGCATCCTCTCCACCTACCTCTGCTGGCCGGCCTTCTTCACCGGCGCCTTCCAGCTCAACGACGCCGTCTTCGCCGCCGACTAATCTTCCCTCTTCCACAACACCTTGCATTTTGATTCATTATGGATTACTGCTTAGTGATTAGTAGTAGTAGTAATTAGTTGTTGAGTACTTACTTAGTAGGACGAGAGAGAAAGTAAGAGTGTGTATGTCTTGAGGTTAATTTCTTCTTCCATAATAAATCATGTGTTGATGACTTGATTCTGTCTCTAATTTGGGCTGGGATTAGCAGATCTCCATCACATATGGTTTCAGTTGTAGGACTTCTTTTATGGTCTTCAAGGTATAGCAACAGGTACCGAAGTTATCCTCAAAAATACAAATTAGTGGAGCATTTTGATTAATTACTACTCCATCCGTTCTAAAATATAGCAATTTTTAATTATAAATCTGGACAGATTTATAGCTAAAAATTACTATATTTTAGGACGGAGGGAGTACTTAGTACTAAGTAGTAAATCAATTAGTGGAGTAGTTAGTAGGATAAAAGAGAAACTAGAGTGTATGTCTTGAGGTTAATTTTCTCCATAATAAATTGTCTCTGATTTGATTTGGGTTGGGATTAGCATATCTTGGACAGACTTTCAGCTGATCCCAAAAAGCTGATCTGATCTCCATCACACAGGTTTCAGTTGTAGGAGTTTGTTATGGTCTTCGAGATGGAGCAGCAACATGTATCAAATAAGATGGAAACGTATTATATGTACACGAGCTTTCCGTACAATTAGCAAATATCACAAAAAATTCTTAAGAAAAAATTATACGCGTGCTTCCAATACCAACACAAAAGATAACTATAGTGAAGTCCTGCCTAATCGACAACTTAACACTGAAGATCAAACTATTGAAAAATAACAACAGACTAAGCAGGGAATCAACCAACTCCTGTTCTCGTCGGTTTTAGTCTTGCCACCATCTCTTTCATCCTTTGAGTCAGCACCATCAGCGTGCTCTCCTCATCAGAGCGAAGCAGCTTCTTCCACTGCAGCAACATAGAAATGATTTGGAAAGGCAGAGTATAACATAAAACCAACGCATTCATAAAGACCATGTTATCTCTAGTAAGCCACAATCACCAGCAAACGGCAGCCAGCACTGTAAGCTTGATTCTTTCCTTGATGGGATTAGTTCTGATATTGCACAGGAGAAAAAAAAATCATCTAAATTTCTAGGAGTATTTGCCCAACCCAAAACATCTCTAGACCAACACCAAACAAAACTTGCCATAGGACATCTAAACACTATATGGTTAGTAGTTTTAGTTTCTCCACATAGGAGACAGTAAACATCACCCCTCCCAACCTTTCTTTTTTAGCTGCTCAGTTGACTGAATTCGATCTCCATGTGCAAAAAGGCTTATAGCTTAGTGGTTGTAGTGACCTGAGTAGCATTTCAAGGTCTTGGATTCAAATCTTCGTATGAGCGAATTTTTAGATTGAGTTATTTGCGGGGCTAAGTTTTCAATTTAAATGGCTGCATATATTTGATTAGATTGGGGTATTTGCGAGGCCAGGTAAAAAAATTTAATTTACCCTTCTCTAGATTTAGAGGCCGGGTAAAGAAAAACCCTCTCTAAACAAAAAAGGTGGACTTCCAGACCTTTTGCATGTTATTATCCACTACCCCTCTAAAGGTCATTGTACTATACATAGAGCTAGTATATCTCTTATTTGCTGTTAATCCCCATACCAACTTATCTTGGTTTCTACTCAGCTCAGTGTTCTCTATTACAATTTTATCTCAGTCCATTCCTCTGTCTCAGTTGGGCCAAAAGATCTCCTGAATGTTAAACACCCATAACCTCTTATGATCACCTCTCTCACCAGGATTTCTTTTTGGTTGCTCATCTCAAATATGTTGTAGAATATCACTTTCAGGGGGCATGTCCAAATTATGAAACTCCCAAGTTATAATTGCTGGCACATTTTCTTATCTTTCATATTGTAATTTAGCAGAAATGCTATATGCTTCAATCTCATTCATGTTCATGGACGTTGTCCTACATAAACCAGAAACTATTGTAAATACAAAATTAGGAAATACCGGCATAAGGAAGAGCATGAGCTGGTGGAACCCAGATAAAAACAAATTTTCTCTGATAGGGTTTTTTGTCGGGATGACCGAAGGAGGTCATCCAATGTAATTTAGATAGGAAGAAAATGTTACAAGAAAGTTTTTCATCAATAGCTGATTTTCGAAGTGTCAAGGAAAGATGTGCACTAGAGCATACGCCCAAAACCATGTGCCAACCACCCAAACACAAGCTACAGAAAGGGAAAGCGAGCACCGAACCAGCCGTCGCTATACGAAACCGGTCGCCACTGGGCCTACAACATCACCACGGAGCGAAGACTCTAAAAAACGACACCCCCAAGAAGATCACGACACTGAAAGACACCGTCGTCGTCCATCCAAAGAACTGGACAAGGCTTTCACCCAGAGTTTCTTGCCGAGGAAGAAGGGGGTACCTCAACAGTGCCCTTAGGAGGGTTACCACGCCCGAAACAGTAGCCACTGTTGGCCCAATGAAACATTGGGCTAAGCTTTCGCTTGGAACCCTCACAACCCTACCGCCGTGGTATATCTCCCAATCCAAAACCACCATCCGAACACCAGAGGCCAGGCGGCACATGGCCTCCGCCACACCTGACCGATGCCTCTCCGCTGGTAAGCTTCCAGACATGCCAACGGCAGGACTGCCTTGAGTATCACTATCAGTACAGTAAACACAGGGTATAAACACTCATAAGCACTTAATTAGTAATTAGCATACCACATATATATATTGTCATCACTCAGACACACAAGCAGAGTAAATGAAATCAAAGTATGGAGAAAAGCTTCTCCAAACCACACTTCACCTCTAGAAATTAAGACCTATCCACATATTTGAGTTTAGCATGATCAAACTATATATATATATGTCGCCAAGCCAACATCTATCACTCTCACTTATTGAGCAGGCATGGTGAGAAGCTGAGAGCAGTATTAATGGTGGCCACCATGGTGACCGCCGTGGTGACCGCCATAGAAGCCGCCGTGGTGGCCGTCGTGTCCGTGATGACCGCCATAGAAGCCGCCATGGTGGTCGTCGTGTCCGTGATGGCCTCCATAGTATTCGCCGTGATGGCCGCCGTGGCCATGGTGATCGCCGCCAAAGAAGCCGCCACCGCCATGGTGACCGCCGTAACCGTAACCGTAGCCTCCATGGCCGCCATGGGAAGAAAGCTTGTGTGCACCGTACGCCGCGGCGGCGACGGCTGCACCCGCTCCAAGCATCGGAGCCATGTGCCCTCCTCCACCATGGCTACCTCCATAACCTGAAAAAAAAAAACAACAACCACCATGAAATCTTGGCGATGAATTCGTCACGACGATCGAACAGAATCTCTTTTGAAAGATGAATCGTAAGAACAGAACAAGATCTGCAGCACAGAATCGAACAGAAAGCTAGAATCAGTTGACGATCGAGTACATACCCTGGTATGGCGCAGCATAGCCAGCCGGAGGAGGATATGCGGTGGGCGGCGGAGGGTAGTAGCCCTGCTGAGGAGGGTACGGATAGGCATGGCCGCCGCCGGCGACGCCGTGCATGAGGTTGGAGACGAGCCCCTTGTCCTTTTCCATTGTCGTACGTGGTCTGATCGAGAAAGAAACTAGAGCTTTGTCGCGGGAAGTTAGAGGAGAAATCGAAGTGATCGAGCTGAGGAAGATGAAGAAGATGTGTTCGCGTGTGTGGGGTATATATAGCGAACGCGATGGCGGTGGCGCGTGGAGGGCGTCGGGGAGGATCGATCGGAGAAGGTGATGGAGGGAGATGGCGACGCGGCTAAGCAAGGCGACGCGATGGATGGAGGATTAGCAACCTGATTATTACCCGGAATGGTGGGCGGGATGAAGCGTGTCATTTGTGCTCCACGTCACTGCCATGTGGGCCATAGGCGACCGGACCGCGTCGTCCATGTGGTAGGGGAGGAATGCATTTAACCTTTTTTTTTCTTTTAAAGACACACTTTATTACACGTAAGTATTTCTAGAATGTAAGTAGACATATTTTACCCCCTACCTTCAAATACAAAACGAGATTGATAAAAGAGTAAAATGCACCAGCGATTCTTAAACTTATCAGGAGGTTTCACTTAGATTCACGAACTTGTAAAGCGCACATCGAGGTCTCTAAACTTAGTTTATTGTATGTATCATCCCGGTCCAAAGCCGCGTTTGACCGTGGTCTTGCCTAAGTAGCATGTCACGTGGACGATGACATGAAATTTTTTTTCTCCCTTCTTCCTTCTTTTTTCTCTTTCTTCCTTCTTTTTTCTCGGTGGTAAGAGGCGGCACGAGGGGAGGGGCCGTCGCGGTGGTGCTTGGCGAGGCGCCGGCCAACCGGCACGGTGGAAGGAGGGCGGCGAGAGCGCGGGGCGGCGTTGATGGGGGGAGGACAGCGGTGGCGATGCTGAACCACCGCACGCCATGAGCGCCGCCACTGCCGCGGTTTCGCCGAGCAGCCGTGCCAGAGGCAAGCGCGCAACGGGAGGGAGGACAGCGGCACTGACAGGAGGGAGGGGACGGCGGTGACTTGGGGAGGAGGACGGCGGCACTGATGGGAGGGAGGGGGACGGCGGCGACTAGGGGAGGAGGATGGTCGCGCCGACACGCTACTGCATTTTACTCTTGATAAAATCATCATAATTAACTTACTATTGATAGGCATGCCACCTACTTCTACTATTATAAAAATTGAAGATTTTTTTGCCGGTATTTTGGTACGTCATCTGTGTTTGAGTCGGTTTTTAAATTTATTCGTTTTTAGAAATACAAATCCTTGTTTAAGTTGGATTTTAAGCTAACTTGCTTTTAGAAATACAAAAGAAGTTATATAAAAAATCTCTTTAAAAAAACTCGCATGCTAATTTGGAATGAAATAATGATTCCTAATTACAACTTATGATTTTCTAAAAAAATATCCAAGCGAATCCTACTGTGAATTTACTCTAGCTAAACCATATAACAACAATAAAATTAAAATATCATTTACCTGTTGCAACGCACGGGTATATTTTTTAGTCACTAAAAGAATACGGTGGTGTTTGAATCTCTTGAAGATGAAGATGAAGATAAAGATTAAGTGTTCCACGTAAAACGAGGTGGTAATAACATGTGATTAATTAAAGTTTTAATTATTAGAAACTTCAAAAATAGATTAATCTGATATTTTAGAACAACTTTCATATAGAAATTTTTCGCACGAAACACATCGTTTAGCAGTTTGAAAAGCATGCCACACTAATCCAAAATTTTATCCTCTCCTAGTAGGAGAAACTAACAGGGCCTTAGTGGTAAACAAGAATATCCGTATCGAGTCTCATACTCGAATCCAAAGTGAATGGGTTCTAACCTAACTATATAGTGCCAATAATACATTTAGTTAATCTCGTAACATCATCTCGTAAAGTGGAAAAATTCTTTTCCACTCACACTTGTTGCGGTAAAAAGTTAATTATTCCAATTTTCGGTATAGTCTAAATTATAGTTACTGATGTCTCATTCTTGGTCGTGGACATTGTCCAATATGGAGTCTTGAGAATATGTCCCTTATTTTTATAAATAAACGACAAAACATAAACATAGTTACAGGGGAGAGTGCTAGATGGTCGAAACCACTCTATTTGATTATCAAAATAAGTTCCATTTGGAAGATATCAAATTCATGGACAATGAATCGAATCCATTCTACTGTTTTTGATTTTCATAAGTGGGCAATAATGAGATGCACTTAATAGTGTAGTGGCAAGGGTGCACGGTTTCAACCCCAAGATCCCGTATTTAATCTCTAACACGCTCACAATTACTTCTTAAAAAAATGTTTGGAGGAACATCCTCCCTCCAAATATCTTTTTTTAATATAAATGTGTAATAGTACTATACATTTAATATCGGTTGCTACATATTTATTATTTGATTACGGGTGTGTAATATTATAGCCTTAGAGCATGCTCGGCTACACTATATAGCGTTGCATAACATTTATAATATTATAGCCTTAGTGCATATATGCTCGCAGCACTATGTAGCTTCCTATTTCCTACGTTGTTTTTCTCAAAGTCACAAGAACCCATGTAAATTATCTAATTATAACTAATTTATATCATTTTAATTTTAATTAATATATCAGTTAACAATTAGATAATTAGTATGCATAGGATCAGGGTAAATTTTGTTCTGTTTCATCACCGACGCAACCGTTGTATACTGCCTGGGCGCAGGTGCAGCGCTGTACAGTGCACGGTATAGAAGCGTGGAGTAAGTAAATAATTCATTTCATATATAATAGACAACTGTTGTATGCTGCTTGGGCGTAGGCGTGGCGCTGTACAGTGCACGGTGCTTTGCTAGAATTTTATTTGAAACGTGAAATAAATCATTTATTTTAATAATAGAGTAAAATAAGCTGATAAAAAGAACCGATAGTCCCACAAAAGAAAGTTTTGCTAGTCATCTCACCTAATCTACCTTAGATTTGACAGATTTTCGCTATCCTCCCACAAACGCGATAATATTGTAGCACTTCTTTAGATTTTGTAAAAGTAAATCCGGTATGATTTCAACTATTTCAATTTTCACCGGCCATTGATAATAAAATGGGAAAAATATTTTGATTTCACGAGGGGATGTCCCTTGTTTGTTTAAAAATCATCTAAATAGTTATGAAAAATTTTAAAAAATTTTGAAAACACTCGTACAATATATTTATGTAACTTCACAAAATGTTAGGTCCAAACTCAACTCACATATTGAGATATAAAAAAGAAAAAAAATCAGCTTATGAATAGTGATGTACTGTTTACATCTGAATTTATCTTTTTATTTTTCGATGTGTAGACTGAGTTTGAACTTAATTTTTGGTGTACTCTACAATATCAATTTTTTTAAAATTATTTTACAACTATTTATATCAAATCTGGAAGAAAAAGGTACACCAGGAACATTCCTTCAAGAAATTAGAACCCACTCTCCGATAAAAAACGTGGGGGTATCAGCACAGTAAAAACAGGGATCAAACACTGATTGACAGTCGGTTACTAATCATCAAACCATATTATCACTCATATCAGTGTCTCAGATACAATCTAGAGTAGCAAACTAAGTAGAAAAAACTATATACACATATCGAGTTTATAGTAGTATAATCAAACCAACTCATGATCATCTTATCACTCGCACTGATTGAACACGCCGTGCAACACGATATGGTGATCACCATCAATGGTGGCCATGGTGTCCGTGGTGGCCACCGAAGCCGTGGTGACCGCCAAACAAGCCGCCATGGTGGCCGTGGTGGCCGCCGAAGAGGCCGCCGCCGTGGTGTCCGTGATGGCCTCCAAACAAGCCGCCGTGGTGGCCATGGTGACCGCCGAAGAGGCCGCCGTGGTGGCCACCGTAGCCGTAGCCTCCATGGCCATGACCGTGGGAAAGCTTGTGCGCGCCGTACGCCGCCGCGGCAGCGGCTGCACCTGCAGCTAGCATCCCCATGTTTCCTCCGCCATGGTTACCTGCAAAACCAATCAGGGAGTCCTCAAAACGATTAAAATTGTACGAACAGAATTCCACCGTTCTTTGTCTGAATCACCAAAAACAGAGGATTCAAACCGTGTGTTTTTCACGCTAAAATTGAAAGTTTGATTGAAATTGGAATGATATGATGAAAAAGTTAAAAGTTTGAAGAAAAAGTTAGGAACTAAATCAGGCCAAAGAAAGGTTACAAAGGTTTGCAAATTATGGCAGCTAAGGTGGTGTTTGGATAAGAGACTAAATTTTAGTACCTGTCACATCGGATGTTTAAATATTAATTAGAAATATTAACATAGACTAACAATAAAACTAAGCATAATTGAGAGCTAATTTGCAAGATAAATTTTTAAGCCTAATTAATCTACAATTAGCACATGTTTACTGGAGTATCACATAGGCTAATCATAGATTAATTAGACTAAATAGATTCGTCTCGTAAATTGGTTAAGGGTTATGAAATGTTTTTTATTATTAGTTTATGTTTAATATTTTTAATTAGTGTTAAACATCCGATGTGACCGATGTAACAGGGAATAAGATCAAAAAAGGGTCTAAATTGGGGATAGATCCTATCAATGCAAAATCTATGAAATAGAAACAGCAAATTGATCCAACCTAATACTACTACCGATCAATTCGACGAATCGAGCCGAACAGGAACAAAATCACAATTCCAATTAAGCGACTATATATAATCATCACAAGTTCACAACAGAATCGAACAGGAACAAGAACGAGACGCGTACCGTGTTGGAATGGCGCGGACGAGCCGGGGTAACCTGCAGGAGGGTAGCCATAGCCGCCGCCGTACCCCGCCGGAGGAGGAGGAGGATACGCGGTGGGCGGCGGCGGGTAGTACCCCTGCTGAGGAGGGTACGGATAGCCATGGCCGCCGCCGCCGCCGGCGACGCCGTGCATCAGGTTGGAGAAGAGCCCCCTGTCTTGCTGCTCATCCTTGCTCCCTCCCATCGTCGTCTGATCAAGAAATCAAAGAAACTAGAGATCTTGTGGTGGAAAATCAGAGGAGAAAACTGATTCGTCGAGGAATTGGAGGAGTTTATTAGGAGGAGGAGGACGCGTGTGGGATTTATATTTGTGGGCGGCGTCGAGGAGGATCGATCGGAGAAGGTGATGATGATCAAGCAGAGCAGCGCGACGCGGCTAAGCAAGCTGACGTGTAATTAGTGGATCGGTTGGAGTTGCTGATTAGAATAGTAAAAGCTAAATTGCGACCTGATTGTTCTTCACGTGTACTATATATATAGCCGTAGTGACGTGCTGATTTTTGACTTGGTGGTGTTTATGTATGGAAGGAGATGTTTATTGGAGAAGGAGACTTGCACTGGTTGTTCTAATTTTTCATTTATGGCATGTTTACTTTGTTGCTAAAATAAATCTTACCAATATGTTGTAAAGCAGAAAGATCATAAGGTTATTAGTGTGAAAGTGCTATTTGGTTTTGGAACTTTATTAGATTTTGGTAAAGGTCATAATGGTGAGGTCCTATTTGGTTTGTTTGGCTTATGGAAAGAAATTAGTAAGGTTTATTTTGGCGATAAATAAAGCATGCTTTTTTATGTTCCTTATTTAATTGTGAGAATCTTGAACTCTGCCGTGTAAAATCATAGCCCTTGCTTTTGCTTATCTTATCATAGTGGGGGAATTAGATGCGCCGGAAATCTGTGTGTCGTTGTCGGTAAGTTTTGAGCAGAAACGGCGGAGTAGTACGTTTAATCACAAAAAGAATGTTCCTTTCTAATTTGTGCAGTCAAAATAGCTTAATCTTTGATCAAAATTATTGTTGTAACATTGTCCCTTTAGAATGACATGGCTAATCTTTTTTTTAAAACAAAACCTTTTCTTGATTTTATGCTTATGTAAATGTATAGTTTTAATTGACACAAGAAATTAAAAACTACTCCCCCCATTTTATATTACAAGACTTTCTAGCATATGTGTTTAAGATTCATTAACATCTATATGAATGTGGACAATACGAAAATCTTATAATATGAAACAGAGAGAGTACTAGTCAACACCAGACTAAAACAAACTTTAATTCATAACCACAATTACATAAAGGGTACTTATCAATCAACTCCGCAAAGAAGAATATACCTCCATCCAAATTATAGGGATACAATGACAATTTGTCAACATATATGACAACTTATCTATCTTATTAGTTCTGACCACTTTTATAACTATATCAGGAGGCTAGGAGAAGTCGAGAAGAGCTCAGATCTCTGAAAAAAATCTGGATCTCCCCAGTCTAATGTTGCATTGCACATCCAAAATTTTAAAAATTTATAAATTCACAATCAGAAACCAACAATTATGTCCCAGGAGACAGCAGTTACCAATAAATGGTAACATAAACTTTCACAGAAGAAAGAAAAGCAGCAAAGAAGGTTTCAACACATCATATCTATCAGGCTATAGAACATTAGAACACAGATGTGCATAAGCGTCAGAAGGTATTTAATTAATTATTAGCAAGCCATATTGTCACTGAGCCACATACTAGAGTACCAAATCATAGAGGAAGGATGGGAGCAGCAACTGAGCAAAGCTCCATCCTGCTTAGATACATTCGAGAGGCTTTTTTTAGGCTTTTAACCAGCCAAGCGCAAGCACTTCAGTTAAAGCCTAAACAGAGTTCCAGCATGATCAGATCATGCGCATTACTTCCACTTCTTGAACTTGCCACCACCGAACATGCCGTGCCCATGCTTGCCATGCTTGAACTTGCCATGGTGGCCGTGCTTGCCATGCTTGAACTTGCCGCCGTGGTGACCGCCGTAGCCATGGCCGTAACCACCAAAGCCTCCATGGCCTCCATAGCCCATGTGTCCACCATGGCCATGAGAAGAGATCTTGTGTGCCCCATAGGCTGCAGCAGCCGCAGCGGCGCCTCCAGCCAGCATTGCTCCCATGTGTCCTCCACCGCTACTCCCATGGCCGCCTGCAACATTACATTAGAAACTCTCTAAGGATAGAACGCTGAGAACAGAGTCACACCATTTTGCTGAAACAGTTCAATGATGGTAACAAAAAATACGCATAGTATGGCATCTAAAGTGTAGATGAAGCATCAAGAGTTGTATGTGGTATGGTACAACAGAAGGGAACTAGAGTAATCCAAATCAATCCTAAAATTCAGAATATGTGCAAAATGCAGAGGTGTTTACTCGAGTTCAGCAGGAATTGCAGTACGATGTAGATTAAAAACACACATAATGGCATCTAATAATTGGAGAAGAAACATCATGCATTCAACTAAGACGAAGTGGTAAGAATGGAGTTGGCATCATGAGCGCAAATGATTGCAATAAAGATAAAAACTTCACATATCACGGCATAGGTGATACAGCATGATCAGCATCATATATCATGCATGGTCCAACAGGAGGGAATTACCACAATTCAACTCAATACTGAATTTGCTTAAAAGTTCAACAAGAATTGTACAAAAATGACAAGAACAGAACCTTAATAGCACATAAGTGAACAAGAATTACATACCCTGGTGCCCAGATGATCCGGGGTAGCCCGCAGGAGGGTAGCCACCATGTTGGGGGTAACCACCAGGTGGAGGGTAGCCACCAGGCTGAGGGTACCCATGCTGTGGAGGGTATGCCCCAGGTGGTGGAGGGTAAGCCCCAGGAGGAGGGGGATAAGCCCCCGGAGGAGGCGGGTACGCTCCCGGCGGCGGCGGGTAGCCCTGAGGAGGGTATCCCTGGTGAGGAGGATACCCATGGCCGCCGGCAACGCCGTGCATCATGTTAGAGAAGAGCCCCTTGTCGCTCTCGTCATGCTTGTCCTTGCCACCTCCCATTGTCACCCACCCCAATCAAGCTAAGCTATCTGAAACAAAGTAGGATGATCATGGTATGAGCAAACTGAATTCTTGAAATTGGAATGAGATGGCATGAAATAAATCTTTGATATTTCCAATACATGAAACGATCCACTCTCATCAGAAAACCAACCATTGATGTTGTGCAATGAACAGGCGTGGAGGCATCTATATAGTACCGAAAGACAGCTCCGATCTTAGCCATATCCTACTGGGAAATATAAAAGTAGTTGTACCTACCATACCAATCCTCGTTGCAAAATTCTGACTCTAGAACATGACTAACGTGCAAATACTTGAACAGAAACAAGGCATTCAACGCGTGACAACTAATAACTAATCATATCTCAACACACGAGAGAATGGTTGCCAGCTTGATTTTCTTTTTAGAGAAGTGTTGCCAACTTGATTCATATACTACCAGATTATTTCACCAGGAAACAAGCCGAAACTACGATGTTTTCCGGATCTCTGGTAGCACTAAAATCCGGAACAAACAAGCTTACAAGATCAAACGAACACCAGGCCATATATGATCCCTGATGAATGAATGGATGGATTATTTCTCAGATCAATTCCCCACATCAGTCTGTATCCCCAATTTCTTTCGACCAATTAATAATAAAACGCACAGCAACACCCAACACAGATGATTTCTACGATGAGGAGAATTCGGGCGTACCAGAAGACGAATTGAGTCCTGAAGACGAGGAGGAGGAAGAAAGATCTTGGCTGGGAGGAAGGATTGATTGGTGCTCTGCAATTCTGCGGGCGATGTCTCCTCCGCCTATATAGGAGGCGGCCACGTCCGTTGCGTGTCACTGCCGCGTGGGGCCCAGCTGGGTGGGTGGGACGAACCGGATAGGCTTTGACCTTGTGCGCCGCGTCACTGACATGTGGGGCCCATGGAGACGCGCGAGCGCGTGGAGAGCGCGTCGTCCTGGAAGGAAAGAGAAAATAAAAAAGGCAACGCGGCGAAGCAAGCAAGGAAAACTGACGGTTGTGGTGAGGTGGGGCCTACATGGCGTAGGAGAGATAAGGTCTACTCCCTCTATCTTATAAAAAACCAACGTGTACGAATCTGGACATATCTCTGTCCAAATTTATTGTATTAGAATATATCACATCAGTACTAGATTTTTTTTTGGACAGAGGGAATTTTTTTTACTTATACTTATGCTTATTAGCTAAAATTTAAATTTTCAACTTTAAATTTAAAGCTGATTTTGAGGTTTTTTTTATTGAACTTTATTTTTCAGTCTTTGTTATTGGATTGCTAGGAACACGTGTATAAAAAATTTATTTATAAATTACTTTCCATTTACGGATATACCATCACTAAGAACATGTATATAAAAATTTTATTCACAAATTATTTTCTATTTACAAATATGTCGTTTTCGAAACGATCGCTTAGAGCAAGTTTAATAGTATAGCCAACTATTAGCTTTAATTCATCTATAGCCAATCTAATAGCTCATTCATACAATAGTTACATACCACACTATTGATATATGGTCCCACATATCATACACACACTGTGTCTTAGAGTCCGTGCTACAGCTGTCTATAAATCTATAGCCCGTTGTCCTTCTCTCTTCTCATTTATATGTTTAAAATATATTTATAGCTGGCTTATTATAGCCTGCTATTGTACCTGCTCTTATGGATGGATAGATATATTCCCGTCACGTCGAGCTGCGTGCAAACGACGACGCGCCGCCACGTGGCAGGGGAGGTGGGGACCGTGTGGGCCTTATTCTCGGCCCATCTACTTGAGGCCCGTTTCTGCAGGGCCCATCTGTCACGCTCGTTCGCGGCTCAAACTGGGGAGAGGCGGAGAGAGAGAGAGAGGGAGCGAGGGATTCATGGCGCGCGGTGGCCGCCGGCCGCTGGCGATCCCGTTTCCCCTCTTGTGCTACTGCTTCGTTCCTCCATCCCCTGCGTTGGATGGTGAAGAGTTGATCATCCCGGCCGGGGCTTGGGGGATGGGTGGGCTATTCGTGTCGACGGCAATGCTCGATACCTGCTCGACGGAATGCTTGCCTCGCAAGTGTCAGGTGCGTGCCTATAAACTCCCAACACAGAACGGTTTATTCTTACCCAACAGCACAAGCTAAATCCCAATGCAATTGGCCCGCCGAAAAAGAATTATATCCTGAAACGATTTTGTTTTGTTGAAAGAATTAACTATGAATATATCTTCTGAATGATCTCACAATCTGCAATGTTCTACTGACAAATATACTTTCTTGTCAAAAATGTACTTAAATACACCTTAAAGTACATCTTATAGTAATCCCCATGGAATACAGGCATGTGTTTAGTAAACACTAACAATGTGAACGGAGCCGTCTATGGCATTTGGCTACAACATGTCATCATTTGATCATTTTTAAGTCTTGTTTTCTGACCTGCTATGCACCTAATTAGCTCGATGACGAATCTGGTTACATCCAGAAGGCCTGATCATCAAAACAGGGAGCGGGTTAGTCCAGTATTCCACCAACTCATAAGAACATAGCTGAAATTTTATCACTTTTGCATTAGACAGATAGACAGGAGTACCTAATTCATTTAGTGAAGAATACCATGTCACTATGCTGTTTCTGAAGAGCCGGGTTTACACATGCCAATAGTGACGGCTTCTTTTTCTTGGCTGGAAAGAGGAATAGCCGGAGTGGCACTCTTGTTCTAGAGGGTGCATTTTTCCAGGTGCTGCTTCCTTTGGCCTCCGATAAGCTAGTTCTCTCGACTATCTTTTCAATGACCTTTTCAATTTCTGCTTGGAGCCCTTTTATATGATCCAGACCAGATTGCAGTTCATCAGCAACCTTGTTGTTCTCCTGTTTCATGTTCATAACCTCCCCTTGGAATTTTGCAGCTTGATATGAAGTGAAATGAGCTCCTTCCTCAGGGTCTGCACCCATCTCCATGGTTGCTTCAATTTCCTCTTGTATGCTGCAGAGGGAAGCGAACCTATACTGGAGCTCCCCTTTGAGCATGGCATTCTGTTCCAACCATACTTGTAGTTCTATCTTGAGTTCTCTTAGCCGTTTTTCTATGGCATTTGAGTCACCCTTTGCTGATGGATCATCCGCACGGCCATTATTTGTCTTGAGCTTGTCCTTGTTTGTTAGCTTCCCAATCTCAGGTTGTAGTTGCTCGTACTTGGTCTGAAACCCTTGGATCTGTTGGAATGATGTGCTGAACTTCATCCAGAATTCTAAGTTCTCCTCCAGAAGTGCATCAATGTCTTGTCTGAACTTCTCTTCAAGCGGCGAGGCATTCTCCATCTTGACAACATCGATCAATTTGATGTCCTCCAAAATTAGGCTTTCTTGATCTGTAACGGTATCATACAATGCATCATCTTCCTTAGGGGATTCGAGAATTATTCTGGAAATGGAGGAAACACTTTGTTTCCTTTGATGACCAGGTGAAAAGCTTGGGGTCCTTCGGTGACCCCTGAATGTCCTGCTTATCGAACTGAAGGACGTTGTTGGGTTCATTTGGTGCCCATTTCCTGATACATCTTTGTCAAGTACAGCATTCAGGAGTTCAAGCAGTGACCTAATTTTCTCATCCTTCATTGAATTTGCAGAGCGTAGCTCACTTATCATAGCTGACATCTCATTCAAACGTTCCTGATTCTTTGTCTCCACTTCTGTAAGCTTTCTCTTCTCATTCTTATAATTTCGGAGTATAGAGGTGTACTCGGTTAATAGTACCTTTTCCTTATCTTGAAGCCCATTCATAAGCAGCTGCTGTAGCTTAATCATGTTTTCCTCTTGATCGCCAACCTCATCAACTTTTCTACTAATAGGAGCTGTATCTGCTGTGATACATGAATTGCCTGCTTTATTAATCTTTTGCTCCGAGTTGCCTTCAGAGATGCTTTCATCTGATATTGATAAATCTTGCTCATTCTCTTCTTTTTTCGCATTATGATCTCCTGGGTCATTAGAGGAAATATGATGCAGTCGTTCTAATATAGGCTTCTCATGAGATTGTACAGTATATTGTTGCTTGCTGCTCCCATCGTCACTAGCTATTTCAGGAGCATGATCTTCTCCTCTGTTGTTGTGATCACGAGATGAATCATTATCTGCATTTCCTGATTCTTCCTCATTTACTGATGCAGCTGCAAAGCTCGACTTATCTTCAAGTGCACTATACCACAGATCCTCTGATCCATCTCCACGATAGCAGTTTTCTGCCTTTGTCTCAGGATAACCACTAGATGAGTGGTTGTCATCACAGAGATCTGCTGGTTCCAGTTCTTTCGAATGTTCAGGTAATTCGTCTACTTCATTTTCTGAGTTTGTTTTATCATGCTCGCTTGATGTTTCCATGTCAATGGATGGTGTTGTTTCGTCACTCGGCATGGGAGCAGAACCATCTTGGTGGTGCTCAAGAAGAGGCGACAATAGCATATCTGAAACATCACGGAACCTAGTTATTGTTTCAGTGAAATTTGAATGGACTATAGTTCCTTCTGCATGGAAGGAGCTCACAAGATTCTGAACTCTAATCAGGTCCTCTTCTGCCTGCTTGAACTTGCTATATGATTCACCTGGACCACTGTTTAGTGCTGGCTTCTCTTCCTCCAGCTCGTGCAAGGACTTCTCAAGTTCTGTATTTTCAAGACACAGCCTGTTTAATTGCGCAGTCTGGGATGAAACCATAAGTTCCAAATCCACAACTTTATTGACTAGTGCATCAATTTTATCTGCCATCTCTACCACAGAAACTTCAGAGTCTTTCTGGAAGTATTCTTTGATCTTATCTACTGTTGCTTGCAGTTCAATTTTCTCCTGATTAATAGAGTACATAACATCTACTGTATTACTGCCATCATTTGTCACATTCTCATTTGCAAACTTTACTGAATCTGTTTTCTCAAAAAACTTTCCTAAGTCTGGTAGGGATTTCCCATGCACTTTCATGATATTCTTCAGCTTATCTCTGGAAGACCTGACTCTTTCTGACTCAACCATTGCTTCACTGAATGATAACTTTTGCTGTTCCTGCAATTTGATAATGGTCTCTTGACAGGATTTAAGGGCAGTTGCTGTCATTAAAGCCCTGGCTTCGTTATCTTCAAGCACTGCACTTTCATTGAACTCCTCTTGGAAGTAACAAACTTCTTCCTGCATGTCGTTAATTTGCTTTTCAAGATCCCAGTACTTTGCCATTCCACTCTCATAAGAGCTTTTGAGGAACTCTTTCTGAGTCTGCAACACTAATATCTCCTTCTGGAGCCTACTTATCTCTTCTTGAGCATTCTCCTTGTTGATTTTATCTCCAGAATTCTTGCCTCCATCTTTCAGTCCTGATTTCTCTCCTTTTTTCTTTTTCATCAGTCCTTCCACTGTTGACTTGTGGATTTTGCGAGGATCAACCGCCGTAAATGCCTTTGGAAGATTGTCATCATCCTCTTCTAGCATTGAGTACTGGACCTGGTCAGGGAAAGCAGTTGCAATAGTATGGTTTGCTTTGTGTAGCTCTCCTGATATGTGGTCGTAGCGTTCAGCAAGTGCTCTGTATGCCCGATACGCCTCTTCCACTGAACTGATGACCTCTGGTCGCCTCTTGTAATACATCTCTGCCCTTTTTGCAAAGGAATCAGCTTCCTCCCCAAGGAGGAAGAGAATGAATTTGACCCTGTCCTCCATATCTTCACAGTAACAGCAAAGTCAATAAAAAAATACCGTGCTGTTTAACGGTTAGAAATAAAGGGTAATTGCAGAAATATGTTTTTAGAAGATATTATAAGATACTCCAAATAGAAGTGTAAAAGTTAGCAATTTTGCTTGGTATATGGTGTTGATATCAAAGTGGTTTGTCCTTTTCCTTTATGTGCTTGCCTTGTTTGAAATTTACGCTTGCTGTTTTTTATTTGCTATTGATGCTTATGTAGATATTTTTCTCACCAAGAAATATGCTAGGCCAAGAACATTAAAATTGGAAGGGAAAGCAAATTATTTCCTTCTCTGGATGACTAATATTATCATACATTTATGTTGTCAAGTGGCTCACGCATTATTACTGAACTGAGCTGTACATATTACCATTTGACGATAACATCATGCAAACCAATGCCAACAAAAGCTACAATTCAGGGAATTTTCCATTAGTTTGTTTCTTTCTTCCAGCTTTTACTATAAAACTGAAAATCAATTAAGGCAAAATCTGTATAGATTGTTTTCTCTCTTCTTTTTTCTGGTGTTTTTTCCAGCTTCCATGGAATCAGCATCCTGTTCTGAACATCATTTCTTTGGCATGACATCTAAAACCTATGGTACTACTCATAAATCATGACTCAATTTCACATGAGAACTCAAGACAGCAATACTAAAAAAAATGTTTTTCTCTGTAGCTGTGCAAAATGCTTCAGATTTCAACTATTTTTTCAGGGTAGTAGTTAAAACGGAATAACTTTGTTTCACCATTAACGGATCTATCTGAAATCCTTTCTTTTTTGTCCTCCCTCTTTGAACAGGGTGTTGTATGTGCACCCTCTTTGAACAGGGTGTTGTATGTGCAGAGGTTGATCATGCATACATATGGACTGAGAAGATGGTGTGATGAAGGGTACAAACCGTGGAGATTGTTGTCGAGCCATTTGGACTGCTTGGTGCGGATGTGGCTCGCCCACCACCACGAGTATGCGTTGCTCGCCGCCCGCTGCAGCATCCTGCCCTGCCCTTGAGAATTCTTCAGCTCGGTTAGCCTCTATTTCTCATGCTTATAACCTTCTTCAATCTTCACATTTCCTGTAATTAAGCAGAACAATTCGTTTCAGAAATGCATGTTGCAGCAACAATCAATCTGATGTTGATTGCTGCATTGGCAGGGATAGAGAAATTGAAACAGAGGCTGAGGCTGCCAAAAACACCATAGAACAAGGAAGGTTCATTACCTGCATTTGCTGTGCCAAGAATGAGCTGTTCCTTGCTGACCATGGATGATTTGGAGGAAGAAACGAACACAACATCGCGGATGCTTGTGCTTGGTGGGAAGCACAGGAGGCCGTGTAGGTTGGTAGTAGTGGAGAAGAAGTGGCTGGGTTCGCAGACACTGAGTGGTGGGTCCGCCGATCCTGGTCGCGGCAGGTGATGCTCTGCACGACGGTATGATGAACAAGGAAGCTGTCAGATAATCTGACATGGCTCCGATTTTGATTGTTTTTTTTGTGCTGAATTTTTTTAGCTTCTACCCTCACTTTTTATTGTTAGCAAGGAAAGAAGTGCCACAAATATAGCTCCGTTGTTCCGAAATATTCGAATAATCGTGAGTAATCATCACTTCGTGAGTAATCATCACTATAATAGATCAAAATGACAAACAACGAGTTATGTGTACTATGCATATTCAATCTTTAGATGAGCAGGCGAAATAACCCCTTGTGCTTTCTGAGTGTGTTTGGAGAACCACCTGAACCAAAACATGATGAATAAACTTTATAGTATAATAACATTTTAATTAAAAAAACAATCAAAACATGATGGACAAAACCATATAAGGAGATATGATTTTAGGAGGAGCGCAAAACCATGTGGTTTATAACTTTTGTTGAAATTCTATGTAAATTTGAATGATTTTCCATTGAAATATTTTGCCACGATTTGCCATGCTCCGGATCTAGACAAACCGTATTGTTGTTGGGTATTTTTTTTTTCAGGCCTGCCAAACGTTGGCCAACCAATTTCATTAAGATTGGGAGAAAACAAAGTTAAAAACATAATATTTACAACGACAATATGGTGTCGCGCCATGTGCTGCAAAGCACGCCCAGCAGAAAGCAGCGGAAAGAAATTGGAAAATATGGTGTCGCGCCATGTGCTGCAAAGCACGCCCAGCAGAAAGCAGCGGAAAGAAATTGGAAAATGAGTGTCGCGCCAGGTGCTGCAAAGCACGCTCAGCAGAAAGCAGCGGAAAGAAATTGGAAAATGAGAGAAATTGGAAAATGAGCAGCTGCTCAAGATTGCTCGTTGGTGTGGGAGAAGATCCATAATGTTGTTGGGTATTGATGAAAGTTCGTTGGTGTGGGAGAAGATCCATAATGTTGTTGGGTATTGATGAAAGTAAGTAAATATACATGTAGGATTGTTCTGTTCTTATGCGTCGTCCTATAAACATGATTTAAATTTGATAACTAAGAACACACTTGCACATATTTGTATTGATGCTAAACTTTTATAGTCAAATGAGAGATCTAACAAACTTCCATCTTCAAATTCGGTGAACTCCAACATCTCAAATGCTAAAAAAAAACATAATTAACCAAGCTATGAGAATGCATAAAAGTCAGAATTTATATTACTGTGCGAATACTGTTTCCATTTCAAACATACGCTAAGTGTGAGCTTGTCATACAAATCAAATGTAACAACCAAGAAATAAACCCTCGATTGTTGCATGTGTATACCTTATAGTGAAAAGTGTTTTCGGTTAACTTTGATTCACATTCCAACTCATCCATTTTCTAAATTATAAAAATCTATTTCTTTTATAAAAAAAATTGTCCAATTCATCGGTCTCATGCCATCCCGTTTGCCGGGACTGACATCCTGACCCCACCAATCAGAGCATTTCCCGCGCAATACACACCCACCAAAACAAAAAGGGCGCGGGAAATCGAAACAGCGCAAAGGGAAGGGTAGAGAGAGGAAATCCCACAGCTCCGAATCTCCGATCCATGGATGCGGCGATGGAGGACGCGGCGGCCCAATCCGAGAGGGAATGGGACGGCGGCGGCGGCGGCGGCGGCGCCGACGCGGTGCTGGGCCTCGCCGGCGCCGGCGCCTCGTTGTCGCTGTGCTACCACGAGGCGTTTGGTCCTCACGATGAGCTCATCCTCCTCGAGGCCGCCGACGACCTCCTCCCCGATCTCCTACAAGGCCGGTAAGCTCTCCTCCTCTCCCTTCCCTCTGAGCTATTTTGCCACCCCCCAAATCGAGCAAGAACTTGGAGTGCGCTTTATCAAGAGCGTTTCTTCTTGCCTAGTATATAATCGCAGCCTTCTTTGTTCATAACTTCATATGTAAGATACTTTTCGATCGATCTCAGTTTCTCCCAATCTCAAGCAACATGACCGTGTTTACAAGACGATTCGCAGTTCTTGTGATTTTTGTATTCACTATGTTTGATTATTTCGATTCAGACAGACAATTGGCCTAAAAGTAGTTTCTGTTTGCACAGTTTAAGCTTACATAAACCGTTCGAGGAATCACTAATTTAATTCAAGAGTAATCATAATAACATTTTAGCCACATTGAACTTTCTGAAACAAACTGGATGATTGTATGTACTCTGATGTTCTACTGTTGGATAATAATGTACCTGTACCTGAACTGTTGTATTTTGTGAATCTTAACGATTCTCTTGCTTCTGCAGGGTGACTGTGAGGGGACGCCCTGAAGAAGAAGCTGTTCTCTGCACACCCTCTGCAACATATGCCATGAAGTTTGTGGGCAACTCCAATTCTGTATTTCTGATACCTCCTGGTGAATCAGCTGCTCCAACCTTAAGACCCAATGGCGCCGATGGTGATGATAATGTTGCCAGTGCCACTGATGCTGTAGCTTCTATCATCAAAGTGGCATCAGGTAACATTGAATTGGTCCGGACAGCTCCACGGCTTGATAAACTTCGGAAACTTCTCAATGAGAGACCCTATGTGCTTGATGAAGATCTTGGCAGTGATTTGCAACAAAAGGGGCTCTACACATGGCAGGACCTTTGTGAACTTGTTCAGGCCAGTGACGGTGAGCTGACAGAACAACTGAGTTCCATATCAGCTGTTGAGATTGATGGGTTCTGGAGGATGGTCGATGACAGTTCTGCGAACACGATTCTGGACATGATCCTTCACAATTCCGTTTTGCATGACTGGTCACTAAATTCAATGCCTGAAAATGATGTGCTAGATGTCATGGAATCTGATGGTTTTATGCGCAAGATTGTAACCCATTGCCTCAACAGATTTGGAACAAAGGTTGACAAGGAAGCAAGAGGTTGCTGGAGCCTTGATGAGAGGAGGGTGTGCTTGCAGTTTGCTCGGAGAGCGCTTGGTGCAGGGAAGATGAAGCTTGAGAACTTCATGGGTAAATGGGAGAGAAGCATTCCTTCAGGAATGCGCGCTGATCTTCAGATGCTTGAAGGGGAAGTGCTGTGTGAAAAGCTTGGCGCGGAGACCTGGGTGCATGCTTTCAGTGTTGCTGATCTGCCATTGGCACCAGCTGATAGGTTTGCTGCACTATTCCAAGAGCGGCCAAAGTGGGAATGGAAAGACCTGCAGCCTTACATCAGGTATGATTCACAGCAATTTTCAATCTTTTTTTGGACCAATTTACCTGGTACCATTGCTAAAATCAGAGTTTAAAAATACCATCGTATTTATCTAGGCCCCGCGTATCATTATCACATACGATGGTATTTTGCAACTCATGTATCTCTGTGATGGTATTTACCAAATTTCCTCATATTGAAATTGGCATTTAAACATATCTCTTTGATTATCAGGGATCTGCGTGTACCTGGTGTCTCTTCTGAAGGACTGCTTATCAAGTACACCAGAAAAACGCAACCAAGCGCAGATGCAGAGCCTATTTTTACTGCAAGATAATCAATCCTGCGTGCTAAAAGCCATGTTTCGATGCTGGGCCCTTCCTGGTGGTGATGCTACTGAATATCTGAAACATGGTTTTGATCTGAATATTGTTTTTTTTTTGTGGGGATTGATCTGAATATTGTTGACACCCCAAGATTTGCTGTGGTTTAGTTTTAAGGCATGCTCGGTGGCACTACATATCTTGTTACATACAGATTGTCATACTGATCGTCTTGCAGACAAATATCTTACCTGAATCTATTTCTTAGTTTTGATTGGAGATGCTGTATCTGATCATGCACGTCAGTCATTTGTTCAGTTTGACACAGGTTTACCACTTCAGTTGCGTCATTTTGAACTTACCAAGGCTACTTGTTGCCTATATGCAGCCTATTTTAGGTACATTTGATTTCAGAAAGCACTAAATATAATAGGTGTCCGAAAATTGAAATGTAACACCAAATACGTTATAGCTTGCGCAGCAGGCTAATATTTTTGTTGTGAAAGTCGATTTAGTCAACTTCAGAATTCCCTGTACTTGATTTGAAAACATAACCAGAATCTGCTTTCAAGAAGAAAACGTAACCAGATTCAGATGTTTCCCAAAATTTAGATGGATTATTCAGTTTGCACAAGGTTTTCAGCCAGTCAATGCAGCCCCCTTGTATGCACTTGTTTGAAATATTTGAGTTAAAAATATGTATATTGATAGACCATGTCTGTCATTTCAGTGAGAAAAAAAACCAGCAGGATTCAAACATAACAATGTCTGTCATTTTAATTACAACTTATATGTAATTAAAATTCTAATGTTTGGTTGGGAAGCTGACTTGCAGTGTCATTTCAATGAGAAAAAACCCAGTAGGATTCAGTAATTACAAGGTTCACCCACTATCACTGTTGCCACTTTCAACTCATTCTCAACTAAATTCTCAAGCCACATGCAACTAATTGTCCTTGAAAATAATTAATTATCCTTTTCTTCCAAAACAGGTAGCACCACAGTGACTGGCCACCAGACTGTATAAAATTCACTTGACTGCCTCATTCATTTGCAGGAGAGTACATCCAAACACATGCTACTAGTATCCTATACTGAATAGGCCACATGGATGTGACAAAATCCAGATCATCCCAGATTGCATTATAGAATCATTATTGTTACAGCTTTTAAGCTGTACTGATTATTATTTTTTCCAATCCATTTCACTCACCTGATCTGGTCGACGCCATCTTCTTAAGCAACCAAAGATTCGGAGGGTACAACCACGCTTTGATATTAATAAGCCAACTCAAATCAATAATCCATTTCAGCTGTTTTTAAATATAGCAAATGTCACTATGTCATTCACCTCACCCAACAAACATGGTGTAGTATTTGCTGTCTGTCAGCAAACATGACAGATTTTTTGAATGCCAACAAATATGATTAGGAGTTGTCACTGGTACATTACATTACATGAATTTTATCACAAGGAGCTGCACATTCTCAGAAATGAAAAACCATTCTGATCAGGAGGAACTCCAGTTACACTCGAGCTGCCACAATCGTGTAGATAACAACCACAGACACAGGGCAAGAACAGGAGGTCCAAATTATAAAAAAAAATGAGACACCCACAAACTACTGCAATCACCAGAACAAGTACAGCCATTGACAGTAAACTCGTAGAAAACCACACTACCTTGTCAAACAAAAAAAAACAAATCAGAATAGCAATAGTAGTACATGTGTCGTTCACCTACTTGCTGTTTTTCTTTTTCAGTAAGCTCCCAAACTTCTTCAGAAGAGGCTTGTTCTTTTTCTGTTGCTGCTGTGGTTTTGTCGGGGACATTGCCACTTTGCTGGTATCTTCTGATACTGTCCCATTTGGATGCTCAGTGTTGGTATCCTCCTTGGGCTCCAGTTCATCTTTGGAGGATACGGTTTCTTGTTTTCTGTCTGGATGTGGCTGCTTCTCGATGATTTTGTTGCTCTCCTGTGTGGTGCACTCGGTTTTCACTTCCTCCTGCTCAACCTTGGTTTCGCCTTTCTCTTCTTCGTGATTCATGTCCCCATTGGAGCTCCTATTGAGAACATCAAGTTCCAGTTTAGGGTTTTTATCGTTTTCGCTTTCTGCGTCTCCATTTTCCACCACTGAATCTGTAACTTCTTCGTGAACAGAACTGTATGCCTCGTCCACAACCACTAGCTTCTCCTCCTCCTCGGGATGTTTCTTTATCATCGCTTCAGCAAGCAAGGCAGACAATTCATCTATCTTCTTCATGGCATCAGCTTCTCGCAACCTGAACTCGTCGTTCTCCTGGGTTAGGCTCTGCAGTGCGTTCTCTTTATCTAGTAATCGCTCCTTCAGTTGTGAATTTTCATATGTTGCCTCCTGCACAGACTTGTTGGCTTCAGCAACAGCAGCTTCTGTGTAAATCAGTTTCTCTTCAAGACTCTCTTTCTCAGTCTTTGCCTCATGCAGAGCCTTGCTAGCCTCAGCACACGCTGATTCAGTGTACACCAGCCTCTCTTGAAGCTTTTCTTTCTCCTCGTTGGCAACTTGGAGTTGGTGCTCGGCATCTTGCAGTGATTCCACTGCCTTGTCGACTTCTAATTGAAGAGCACTAATTTCTTCCTCCGACTGCTTGTTTAACCTGACAATGTCAGTCTCCTTAGACTCACATTCTTCTCTGTACTTGTTCACCTCAGCCTCCAATTTATCAACATTTTTCCTTAAGCAAGTGATGTCATAGTTTGCCTCATCAAGCATTACCTCATAACTCTCCTTGGTGCTTTTTAGGGCCATCTTAAGATCACCAATCTGCGCGAGGGCATGCTCGTGGTCATCTTCTTTGCTCAAATACCTCTCATGTGCTTCCTTTGCTTTGTCAGATTCCTCACTCAATGCAGCAGTAAGATCTTCCACTGCTCTTTTCTCCTTCTCTTCTCTATCCCTAGTCTCGTTCAACTCGCTTATTAGCTTCACATTCTCCTCGGTCAGGCCTTCAATCTTTACATTCGCGGCCTTCTCATTGTTTAAGGCCTCTGAAGCTGCTTCTTCAGCAGCCTCAAGCTTGTTTCTCAGAACATCTATAGTCGTCTGTAGCCCAAACACCTCTTGCTGAGATGCATCAAATTGCTCGTTGGATTCGTTGACATCTGCTAAAAGCCTTGCTACCTCAATTTCCAAGGCAGTTGTCTTTCCTTTGAGCACTTCAATTTCAGATTCTCTATCTTGTAATGCAGACTGGATCTTACCCAATTCTTCTGTTGTGGAGGCAAGCGATTCACCTTTGAACTTATCTGAGAGAGTAACTGCCTCCAATTCCATTTCAAGCAATCCTGCCTTGTGCTTCCATTCTTCGAATAGCTGACGGGCTTCTGATTCGGCCTTCTTCGCATCAGCAACCTCTGATTTAAGCTCCTCAATCAGTTTTTCCGTCTCGGCTAACCTCTCCTCAATAATTCTGGCTTCCTCTAGTTTGCCCTTCAGAACTGAAACCTCGGACTCCAGATTCTTAACAAGCTCCTCGGTTTCACGGTTTTTACTCTCCTCGCTCTCTGCAGTCGAATCAAGCAGTCCTTTCAAGCGGACAACTTCACTGGAGAGGATCTCCACCTTCTCCGCATTGACCTCAGCGATCTTCATGGCATCGTCTGCGTGGCCAAGTGCAGCTTTCTTGGCCTCATTCGCCATCGCAAGCTCACGCCTGAATCTCTCCAGCTCCTCCGTCGTAGTGACCAACGTCTCCAAATCGGCGGCGTGCTGGCCACGCACGCACTCGATCTCCCTCTGCCACTCCTCCTCCCGCTTCTGCGCCTCATCGATGCCCGCCTGCTCGAGCTCATCCGCCCGGAACTTCTCGATCTCCGTTGCCTCCTCGGCCCACCTCTTCGCCATGAGCGCATCCTGGAGCTTCTCATGCGTCTCATCAGCAACCCTCTTCGCCTCATTCAGCTCCCCGACAAGGCGATCCCTCTCGCCAACGGCGAAGGCCAGCTGATCCTTGGCCTTCTTGAGATCCTCCTGCGCGGACTCGAGCCGCGCCTGCAGCTCCGCCTCCTTCCTCGGCTGCTTCTGCATTCCACCAAATTTCACACAATCACCATCAACAACTCACACAACAAAAATTTCACACAATCACCATCAACAACTCACACAACAAAAATTTCACTCAATTAGCATCAACAACTCACACAACAAAAAATTCACACAATTAGCATCAACAACTCACACAACAATGCTTGCATATATGAATGCACTTACATCAGGTGGAGTGCCGATCTTGGGAACCCGGCGCTCGACGACGGGCTTGGAGTCGACGGATCTCGGCGAGCGGTCGAAGGAGAGGCGGGGGCGGGCGGTGGCCGACGGCGGCGAGTTGGGCTCGGACTTGAACGGGCCGCCGCCGCCGCCGCCGACGCCGTTGTTGCGGGAGCGCGGCGTGGACGGCGTGCCGCCGATGCTCCTCCTGGTGGCGCCGGGAGTGGAGGGGCGGTGGATGGAGGACGGCGTGGATGGCCGGTGGTTGGACGACGGCGTGCTCGGCCGCCCCCTGCTGATGGGGGACTCGTTCGGCCCAGATCTGTCAATGTCACCGCCATTAATTGCGATTCACGGAAAGCTCCAATCCAAATCAACGAGGTTCGAGCAAGCCGCATTTTCATCCCGCGATCGATGGGATAAAAAACAGAAACTTCAGCAAGAACAAGAGGAATCGAGCGGATCAAGAAGCCGTTCCAACTGAAACCTATCCAATTCGTTCAAGATGCCACATTTTCCAGATTCCGAGAGCGAGCACAATCCAGTACTCAATTGGAACGAACAGCGCGAGGGAAAAAAAATAAAAACAAATCTGAGTGAACGCAGTGACCGGTTTAGATCTGCCAAGAACACAAGGCAACAAAAAACAAATCCCCCAACCAAACAAACCAACATCAACCAATCCATACACACACAAAGAGAGAACTACCAAGAACACACCTGGATTTGGAGGGCAGCATTGTGGACATGGCTGAGGAAGAAGAAGAAGAGAGAACTCTTCACACTTCACTCTTCGCTCTTCAAAGAAGGAGGAGGAGGAGAAGAAGCGAGAGGGAGGCGTGGGCTCCCTTGCGAAAAAGGCTGCAAAGGCAAAAGGCAAACAAGGGAAGGAAGGAAGGAGAGGAGGGAGCCAAAGGCAAAAGGAGGCACATGCCAAAGACAAAGATGATGGATGATGCTACCACCACCACCAGCGCCACCGTCACGGCCACCACCAGCAGCGGCAGCGGCAGCGGCGAGCGATTAGCTAAGCTAGCTGGTGAGTGCTAATCATGGATCAACTCCCTTCACCTACT